GGAGGGGGGGGGGGGGGGGTAGTGTAAGCAAAATGTTTGTAGAGTTGAAATAGAGGAAAAGAGTAGAGAGCCAATTCTTGTGTGTGTTTGTGCCAAAGACTTGAAGGGTTTCCCGTTATTGGCTGTTGTCGATTGATTACTTGATGAACTCCGGAGAGAGGTGTTGCTACCAGTAGAAGTGGAGTGAGTGAGTGTTCATTCGATGTTATCTTCACTCTCTTCTTCTTTTGCCACGTTAGATATATAATCGGATTTTCCGATACACTAACAGGTCATTTCTAGGTTATAAGTAGGACTGAGCATGGCTACTCGAACATTTTGGTACTCGGCCGAGGTCAGATCAAGCAAGGTTCTTATGCCAGCGAGACCCCGACTTTGGGGTTCGGTCGATGAGATATCCATATTTGCGGATATCATCTGCCCTTGCCTTTGCATCGCGTCTGCTTTCGTCGCCAGTCGTTCGCATTGGCCTCTTTTCTTTCCCGTCATAACATTGTTCCTCACCCCTCGCCAATCGGGAAGCCGTGAGCACCCTGAGTCCGTGCCGCATTTCGTAGGTATTCAAAACTCAGGTTATTTGACTGTTACGGGGCAGACTGATCGTCGAAGAATTCAACCGAAGAATCCGATTAGATGAGGTTTGAGCCAAACATATCGAAGAATTCGAGTATCCGAACAAGAGTATACATGAATAGTTGAGATGAACAAACAACAAACTACTACTATAAGAATGATCGACCACACCAAATGTTTTCCCCCAAACTCAGAGAATTTAAATGTAAAATTAGTGGTCAATGATTTTGCTATCTAAAACCCTATGCACTCTGTGTCCCAGCACTTTCGCTGAACCGGTTATATGATAGATCAATGTACACAACCCCCTGGATGTACCGGCGGGTTTTTGCAAAGTAAAAACAGGTTTTACAAAACTGTTTATTCCTAACTAAATTCGCCGCTTGTGGACAAGTTGAAATTGAGATAGATATCTCGTATCTTGTCGGGGAGAGAGTTTTTTGGAAATTATGCATATTCGAAAACCCCCATTTAATGACATCAATTTATTAAAGGCCCAATAAATCATTGGGCCGCTGGCTTAGATGTAATTAATTTTCAAAGAATGGCCCAATTCGAAAATCCAAAACGACGACTTCATAAAAAAAAAAAAAACCCTAATTTCTCCGCTCCGCCTCTTTATAATCCCCCTTCTCCCATTCGCCTTTTCGCTCAGTGCAAACAGTTCAAGCTCCTGAATTGTTTGAGCAATGCTGTGTTTGATTTTGTGAGTTACATCTCGGTTTGTGCTGTTTGATTCTATCTGTTTTTTCCAATCGTGTTCCTCGTTAGGGATTTTCTGCTTTCCAGTTTTTTACTTTTGGCTAGGGATCTCGAATCTCTGTTTCGATTCTTTCTCGGGTTTTTCTGGGTTTTACGATTTCCGATTTCGACCATCTTTCCAAGTCTTTGTTTTTGTTCTTTTCTGGTTTTTGATTTTGGAGCTTCTAATAGTTATTTATGGAGTTAGGGTTCTGGGGCGATGATGTTAAATTCTATATCCCAGCTCTTTGAGGCCTGTTGTGGCCCAGGAAAACATCTATGTTCATTTTTAAATCTGAGCCTCAGACCCTAAACTCAATTCGGATTTTCTCCATACCTACATGTATATGTTTGCTGTAGGATTCCCCATCTGTGTTTCCAATCACGTTCCCTGATTAGGGTTTTGAAATCCAGTTTTTTGTTTAATATTTTCATATGCCTGCAGACATCATTTCTGGACTTGAGGTTTTTTTGGCGATGATGATAATCATTTTTCCCAGCTCATTATGAGGCCTGTTGTGGTCAAGGAAAATATTAATGTTCAATTTATTTATCTGAGCCTCAAAATCCTAAAATTGAAATCGAGTTCTCCATTTGTATATTGAATTAAATTCGCATGTTATCAGTAAAATCAAATTGATATGGCGTTATATCTAATGAAAACGCTTTTGATGTAAGACAACAAATATTATAAGTGAAAAAAGATAGGTATTTGCAGCCACTGTGTACATTTTGATCGCAAATCACTGAAAGAGGGAATCAAAAGAATCAAGAAAAGCATATGCAGGGATGGCCCATAATGAAGAATCAATCTTTGAGCATTGGAAGAGTAGTTGAAATGCGACGTCCGAGTGCACACATTAGCATAAATGGGATGGAATCTGAGTTAAAAAAAAACGCACCGAAAGAAACAAGTCACGGGAGTGTGATTCTTGACAAAAAAAAAACACATGATGATGTCTGTATCTCTTCTCCAACGATGGAGACCAAGGCGTGTGCCCTCGAATACCTACAATGGTGCGACTGTAGGGGTTAAGCAAGGAGAAAGAGATTCTTATTCATATATATATATATATATATATATATATAATCCGAAAGTTCATCCGATCTTTACTTTACTGTTGTTATTATGATATATTGGAGACCCATATAAGGACAGGCTTTTCAGTTGGCGTTTGGATCAAAGTTGTGTTCTATGCACCACTAAAGTGGAATCTCATGGTCACTTATTCTGCAACATTTTCTGAATTGTTGTTCTTGAGACGATACACGAGTGGATACTACATCTAAACCGTGACAAGACGAGAAACTGAGATCTGATTGCAAGACTGGTATTGCAACTCACCATTTGGCAGGTGTGGCATGAAAGGAACCAACGTATTTTCACTGGGTTGTCATATGGAAGCGCACAGATCAAGACGCGCATTCATCGTATGATGAGAAATATTCTTCTTCCATTATCCCGCGAGACCGCGTTGGAACATTGTCAAGTTCTGGAGAACTGGTTTTACCTTATATTATCCGCAACGAATCCGGCGAGACGCTGACATTCTTGAAACTCTTGGAGCTAAATTTTGCATTTTGACCTTTTGTCTTAAAGCTGATTTGTAAATCTTAAAAGTGTTCCAAGGTTCCATGATAGCCTCGGCGACGAGTTAGTATTCCAAAAAACCACGCCTCTTGAACTATATCTCTCGTGATTTATAGCTATAAATATTTTATTAAAAATAATAAAATTATCTTAATTGTTGATGTGAGATTCAGGTGGATTGGTATCCATGTTTTTTGGATATCCAGATCTCATATTAGAAATTGGGCAGGCATAATATGAAACAATAAAATGATAATCATGGTATACCAGGCCTTGGCCCGTATTGGCCCGTATTGTAAACGAAGCTTCACATTGTAGCCTTGGGTCCATCCTCCATTTGATTTATTCATCACTTCAAATGATGATTAGGGTTTCTGCAATGGCATATAAATTTGCCGAAAATGGCAAAATCTCCATTTGAGAGCCGCCAGCAGTGTTCGTTTTCTCTCTCTTCCGAAGAAGAAGAAGAGGCGTATTACAGGTTTGTGCGTGTATCTAATTCTCGCCTTTCTCATTTCTTCTACAATCGGGACGTAAGTATTAGATTCACGCACAAACTCGCAATACGGCTTTTCGTGTTCCGTACTTCCTGAATCATCCACCAGCTCCAATAATCTCTCCGTATGTTCTTCTCCAATTTTCCCCCATAAACATGTATATATATATATATGTATGTGCGTATTTGTTTGAAATCGATGTTAATTACATGGGATCTGCTGAAAGCACATATTGACGTCACAGGATATGTGGTGTTATAATTTTTACCGAATATTTATTTATATTTGCGCACGCATTGTTTATGATAAAAATAAATTAGCTTTTTTTTTTTTTGGTTGAAGGTGGTAAAAAAAAATTAAAATTAGGTTATAGATCATCCGCAAATATTATCACGATTATGTTTATGTTTGTTCTTGTTTAAATTCAGATTTTAAAGATTCGTAATAGATTGTTGAATTGAACCCCGTCATCGGGGGTAAATCTTATATATATAAAAAAAATCTGATGATGCAAAATATCCAATCTTGATGAGACAATGGCGTAACGGAGAATAGACCAATTCAACAGGGGTATTTTCGTCATATAAATTAATGCACGCACCTTTATTAGTTGAACACGTATCAGAGTCAGATCTATCATCTATGGATTGGATTCATTTTCAGACAGCATCAGCGCAAACTCCTCGGTTCTGTCCTGAAAACGAATCTTATCTTTTTTACTCTTTTTTTTCAAAAAAAAAAAACAGGGAATTGCACATTGTTTTTCATCGGATACTTGGTGTTATCATCATTTGCCAGGGTTTAAGTGGACTCTATATACATCGTATGTACGTACGTACGTACGTACGTATGTATATATGTATGTACTGCGTATTTTATGAGAATTGCACTATTAGAATGTCAGAAGAACACCAAATTAGAATACCAAGCCAGTCACAACAAGATGGAAAGAATTGAGCAATGAATTGTCGACAAACCCAAGACTGTTTAGTAAAAGATACCGTTGAAAGTAAAACCGCGACTGTCTCTTTGCCCTCTGGCTCTGTCGAACAAATTGCGGCTTAGTGTGGCCGTGAGGCATTCTTAGGTCCCCTCAACAGAACCTGCAGCATTACAAACCCGTCCCAAGCCCCGAGCTAGTGGTTACTGTGATCCAATTATTGACGACAACTTGCTATGAACAGTCGGTTAAGGGTTAACCAGAATGGTATGACTCATTGGAAGTGATTGTTCTACGGAAATGCAAGGAGAAACCATGAGAAGCTTGATTATTGAACCAAAAGAATAGAGCCGAAGCCGATAAGTACTGCAGTGAATACCGTGTCCTGGCCAAGAGGAGCCCCGAGAAGCTGGTCAAATGTCAAGCATTCTCCTCCAGCTTTCTCGGTGGACTCAATCAAAACTTCCGAATTAAATGCAGAGCATTTCCTTACATAACCCATGAATTTATCATCTCCTCACTTAAAGCGGGTTAAACTCGAAATCAGATCCGGATTCAGGTTACAAACGATACGACGTCATGTCGCTAGGGATGTAAAACGAGTTGCGGATCGCGGACTGACTCACGAGCCGACCCATATTTTTCCGAATCAGACCCAAAATATTTGAGTTCAGAAAAAACCGGGCCAAACGAGCAGCCCATCACGAATCAGGCTCATCAAACTGATTCGCGGACAAAAAAAAATATTTTTTTAAAAAATTTAATATTTTTATATATTTTAAAATATTTTTATATACAAATTATATTTTTACTACATATTTAGTTTATTTTTTGTTTAAATTTTTTTATTAATTTTTTTATTATTATTATATTTTAAATATTAAAATTAGTTTTAAATATTTTTTAGTATTAGAATTTTATTTTTAAAATTTATATATTTAGTTCGCAGATCCACTCATTTACAGATTAAAACGATATAAGTTGGACTTATATATTTTTTGCAAGCTAAAAAATGGATTGAACTTAATTAAAATTTTCCCCGATCGGAATGGAAGAGGGTTAGGTAGACCGAGTCAGCCCGTCTAACACCTGCGTGTCACCTCAAAATCAAAACCGGGTCAACCCGAAACCCGTCGGACTCAACCCGCAACATATAGTTCCGAATCCGATGTATAACATCTACGTTTTCTTCGACCACCGTTCCAACTGTTCTGTTTCTCCTTGTCTTCGTGGATCTGTCTCAAAGGCTGCACTCTGATTCTCTAGATGTCGACGGCTATGGCGGAAGACACGAGCTTCGAGGAAGACCAGCTCGCTTCGATGTCCACTGAAGACATCGTCAGAGCTTCTCGTCTCCTTGATAACGAGAACCGCATCCTCAAGGTCTTCGTCTTCTCTCTCTCTCTCTCTCGCTGCCTAGGGTTTTTATCCATGTCTCGCTCTTGATTCGTTTTCCTATTTTTAGTTCGTGCTATTTCATTTGCTCTATCTCCACTTCGTTGTTTCTCCGCCACTTTTTTTTTTTTATCGTCTATACTTTGTTTAGGGTTTATAAATTCGGATCCCAACTCACTCTTCCTTTTCTTCGTCCTGGAAATCTGAACTTAGTTTTGATGACGATGATAATCTCTCAAGCGTATTGACTGCTCGTCCTTCCGTACGACACTGTTGTTGCTCCCGACAAATCAAGGATGTGATAAGTCCGGATTCATGGATGTTTAGATTCTGTTTATAGGGGTGTTTGAAGTTAATTTTATTATCAGATTGACAAGTTTTTTACTCTTTTTGGGTCCTGAGTGGTTCAAATCCTTCGGAAATGGGTTTTTTCTTCATCTTTTCAAGTCTAGCCATGCAGTGCTGGACAAAATTCACAGAATTTTGACGACATTTCTAAAGTATTTTGAGTTCTTTTCAGGAAGAGCTGCAAAGGACAAACCTTGATTTGGAATCAATCAAGGAGAAGATAAAGGAGAACCAGGAGAAGATTAAGCTCAACAAACAGCTGCCTTACTTGGTTGGCAATATCGTCGAGGTACCTTAACTGGCTCTTATGCTCTCATTGCTTTGTATGAGGATTCTTTTATGCATGGCGTGAGTTCTGAATTCATTTTCTCTGGAGATTGTCAGGATTAGTTCTGTCTGGTGTTGCGTTGTGAGATCTTTGATCTGGTGGTACCCTCTTTTGACTCCTTATTTTGGATGTTTACTTGTGCCAATTTTATAGATTTTGGAGATGAACCCTGAGGATGACTCAGAGGAAGATGGAGCTAATATCGATCTGGACTCACAAAGGAAGGGAAAATGTGTTGTTTTGAAAACTTCCACTCGTCAGGTAAGATAATGTATCCGCTTATCTCCTTCAGACAAACATCTGCACAATTAACAGCGGAGAAATAGTTGTTACTGAAATTGTCGAGTGGAAACAAAGATCTCATTTCATGCCTTTTGTCATGATTCTCAGACCATCTTTCTACCAGTTGTTGGGCTTGTTGATCCCGACACGTTGAAACCCGGCGACTTGGTTGGGGTTAACAAAGATAGTTACTTGATTCTGGATACTCTGCCATCCGAGTATGATTCCAGAGTAAAAGCAATGGAGGTTGATGAAAAACCGACTGAAGACTACAATGATATTGGAGGACTTGAAAAGCAGGCAAAGTTTGCAAATCTCTCCTAATTTCTGGTCTTTGTTTTTAGTATATGTTGTAGCATTTTTTTCACTCTGTCATTACTCGAGCAGATACAAGAACTTGTTGAAGCCATTGTGCTCCCTATGACTCATAAAGAGCGGTTCCAAAAATTGGGTGTCCGTCCACCCAAAGGAGTTCTCTTATATGGTCCTCCCGGGACTGGAAAAACGTTGATGGCACGAGCCTGTGCAGCGCAGACAAATGCTACTTTCCTGAAACTGGCAGGGCCACAACTTGTGCAGGTATGAAAACCGGCACAGTCATTTTTCATACCAATATCGTTTCCATTAACTAATGACATGAATGGAAATATCACATGTGTTCTTATGTATAGATGTTCATTGGAGACGGTGCAAAACTTGTTCGCGATGCTTTCCAGCTTGCGAAAGAGAAATCCCCGTGCATTATTTTCATTGATGAGATCGATGCAATTGGAACAAAGCGTTTCGATAGGTGTAAATCTTTGATGTCATGTCATATGATCTGCTAATCTGTTATATCTGTTATCCTTTAGGATTTTCATTTAATCCCAATATTTATTGCTGCTTTCTTCATGGGTTACAGTGAAGTTAGCGGAGACCGTGAAGTGCAGAGGACGATGTTAGAGCTGCTCAATCAACTTGATGGGTTCAGCAGATGATCGTATCAAGGTTCGTCCATATTGACTGGGGGTGACCATTTCAGGTTTCGGTTCGGTTATGTTCGGGTTTAGAAAAACTATACCCTCTCTTTTTTTTTTTATGTTGGATTTAATTCGGTTCTATTTTATTGATAAAATACTCATTGAAAGAAATTTTCAGTATTTTCCTTTTCCGGTTTGGGACCTTTGGGTTCGGTTTTATTGATATTGGTTTCAGTTTGGATATGGTTATGTATTATTCGGTTTAGTTTTGCGTAACCAGACCGAAATAGCTTCTTCTAATATTGACCCAGCCAAAAACTTATGTATCTATTCACATGCTTCAAACTCAGAACTTTTCGAATGCAGGTTATCGCGGCGACCAACCGTGCTGATATACTTGACCCTGCTCTCATGCGGTCTGGTCGTTTGGATCGTAAAATCGAGTTTCCACACCCCACCGAAGATGCAAGAGCCAGGATTTTGCAGGTTTTGTTAACTTTTTCGCTCTATCGTTTTTTTTTCCTTTCGTTACCATGAGATGCTATATCTACTGGAAAATCTTAAAAAACTTGTCGAATCTTCTAATAGGTCTTGAACCATGTTTATATAGTAGCCTTGGAACCATGTTTCACCTGTCTTGTTGTGCCTAACCGTGTGTATAATGCATAAGTGGTATGCAAATACATGGTTCGTTAGGAGTTGTGGATACCTTAATTTACGCCTTAAACCTTCCTTCAAAAAATGATTTTTTTTGAAGATCCACTCGAGGAAAATGAATGTGCATCCGGATGTGAATTTCGACGAGCTTGCTCGGTCGACTGAGGATTTCAACGGGGCTCAACTCAAAGCTGTTTGCGTTGAAGCCGGCATGCTTGCTCTCCGCCGCGATGCAACCGAGGTACAAACCTCTATCTCTCTCTCTCTCCCTCTCTCCACATTTGAATGATGCGAATTACTATTGACTCGATGAATTGAGAGATTTTTCAGTATAACATTTTGTAACCAGAAGAGAATTGGGTTTCTGTTTTTTAGGTAAACCATGAAGATTTCAACGAAGGTATAATCCAAGTACAAGCCAAGAAAAAGGCAAGCTTGAACTACTACGCTTAGATATTTCCCATCTTCTCCCATGTCTGAATCTGTCTCTAAGAAACAATTTCTTCTTCTGGGTATCGTTTTTTCATGTTACAAATTGTGTTTTTTTTTTACTTATTGGTGTTGTCGTCACACTTTCTGGTACATGAAAATTGTTTAATTACAAAAGAGATGAGTTCTTTATGCCACAAAGTTCTATCTCTATTTGAATATTTCTACTCTTATAGAGCAATCAATTGTATACAGCCAGCCATAATATGGTAGTGTGAAGTATTAATTTCAGAATATATCGACTTAATTACGTTTATCTTCAAACACTTGAATTAAGAAGAGGACGAGAGGTGCCAATGCGAAATGGAACAGTACAAATTTCTCAACATTGTCACAGTCTACAACGATTACTACATAAAACGAATGATACCTTTTTTTTTTTTACATACACGTATATACTCTTTTTGTCTAGACAAGTTACAAGGCAGGAGGGGGCTTGAGGAGGAGGGCTTGTTTGAGCTTGAGGCCGAGTGCATATGCAAGCGGCGGAGGGACTGCGTTTCCGATCTGCCGGTGTTTGTGCTGTATGTTCCCCGAGAATTTATAGCCATCCGGGAAACCCTGCGGATTTTCAACAGATCCAGAGAGAGAGAAAACGGTTTCATCATCAAAATGATCCGGATATAAAACGTTTTCATGGCTCCTAAAGAAGAACATGTGGATCCTGACAAAAACTACAACGAGTGAGTGTAGAAGAGAAGAGTTCACCTGAGATCTGGCACATTCACGGACAGTGAGAATTCGGTCCTGGTCAGGGTGGAAGCACATTCCCACTTTTCCCATGGGTTGAGGGTCGGTGATCGATGTCGGGAAATTGCCTTCCCAATCCAACCTCCCGAACAGCCCCTTCCACTGGTTATGTCGCTTGGCCGTGTTCGGTAGGCACCACGGTATCAAATCCACCATTTGCCCACTAGATAATTTCACCTGTAAAACACAGATGATCGGCCAAAAACACGTGAAAAAAAATAGAGAAATTTGAGGTTGCTTAGTGTGTAGATCATCATTTTATAGAGAATCTGGGACTGAAGCAAGGAAAAAGTAAAAGAGAAACCTTTTCATCGGGGAGGTCACGCCAATCAGCACCAGGCCTCTTTGGGATCTTCTGGCACCGGATGAGATTCAGTTCGTTCATCTCTTTAGAGATGTGATCAGTGAGAACGGCCATGTTTCCTCTGATCATCTTTTGGAACCATGAGAAAGGATCACTTTGATACTGCAAAGATTAAAAGAAAGTCTAGTTTAGTCTAAAACCAGGCCAACTGTATGAATATCGGAGGGGATAAATACTTCTCTGAACTTTTTTTTCAGTACCTCCATGTTCGTCTTGGAGGCTCCGTTAACCACTGGTGGAAGATCGCCAATAGCATCTCTCACAGTGATTGAACGGAAAGGTGCACCATTTGCAGTACTACGAACAGCAGCATAATGCAAACCCCCGGATAGTGAGATCTTCAACTCTGGGACACCAAAGACATGCATTGGCTCAGGCCATTCTGGAAGAATCTCATCTGGGGCAGCTGCCCATATGAATGCTCGTTTACGGGATTGAGAAACTCCATATGCACCAGCCTCCAGGATTCCAAATCTTACCTGAAAACAACAAAATAGACAAATGATGTATATGGTATTGTTTCTAATTGTTTCATGATCACATAGAAAATTGGTTCCTGAAGATACTTCCTTCTCTCTCTCCCCAGAGATCACAATTGCATAAAAAAATGTGATCACACCGTTCTCATATTAGACAAACTTCTGTGAAAGTTCAATCAATGCAAAACACCAGAAGTTTACCTGATAACCCATTTCAAGAAGTGAAGCCAGCGTTAAGCGAAATGTCTGTCCTTTGTTGAAGGACACAAAGTTTCTGACATTCTCCAAGAGAAAATATCTCGGCCGGAAATAATCAGCAAAAGACAAGAATGCTAATATCATTTCACATTGAACTTTACTCCAAGTGCCTTGGTTAAACCTGTTCATACCAGAAAATCCCTGCCACAAACATAACAGTTCATGTAACTCATCCATCCACCTATTCAAATAAACCATAACACAGGCAACCGATCTAAATACTTGCCTGGCATGGAGGTCCTCCATTAATGAAATCCACTTGACCTGGCGATGGCAGAGCATTTTTCTGGTCATCGGCAAGGGAAGCAGCAAGTTCAGCAGCCTCAGAGGTGGATATACAGTCATCTAAATCTCCAAACTTCTCCATTATGGCCCTGCAGAAAACACCAGTAACTGATTACAACATGTAAAATAACCAATATAGGAGAAGTACTCAACATCTTGTCACATTGTTCACCTAAGAATCACATTGCAATTGTTAACAAACACTGTTGATTCGAGATGATTAAGTTTGAAAGCAGCCCCAGCCTGTTCGTCATATTCAATCGCCCACTTCGTTGCAGATACACCTGGCAGGGAAAATCGTAAGTACAAAAGTTACAACTTTCCGAGGCTTTTGGTTTGATAAACGATCAATTCATGAAGGGAAGGACACATGTACACTACATACCCGCCTTGTGCAGACCCTCGGAGAGACCACCACAACCTGCAAAAATATCAAGTGTAGCCAGACGCTTTTCTTTGGGTGTCTCTTCCAGCTTCATGACCTCTGAATCAGTTTCTCCTTCTATACCCTTTCCTTTTTTCTTTCTCAAGGCAGCATCATCCCCAACCCCTCCAGTGGAGTACCTCAGCTTGATATTGGCGGGTAACTGTTAAAAGACAAAGTTAAACATAAATTTAAAGTTCTTATCAGTATCATGATGAATAAAATATTATCCAATAAACTGCATTCAGAGAATCTCGCAAAATCATGCTAAATAAACTCTGCTTTCATTTATGCAGTTTCAACTTATCATGCCTTAAACAATGCTTCCTTTTAGTAACTAAATGCATCTTACAGAAAACATCAAAAGGGTCAAGAGAGTCGATTAGGTTAAAAACATCTTTAGTAGATTTGTCAGAAGATATGATTCCGAGCTTCAATATTGTATAATTTACTGTTACCATATAATATCAAAGCTTTTAAAATCATTTGGACCCAGAGAAAAAAACATAGAACATTAGAAAGAATAAAGATTATGCAATATCTTATATCAGTATATGCATTTGTATATCTAAACGTAGTATAATAAAATAAAAAACTATTTTCTTTACAAGATAATTTATAAATATATACATATACAAATATATTTATTTGGTGATGTAAGGAAAAAAATTGTCTACAACATCAAAGCCTTTTCTTATCTGATTCTCAAAATATATCTGAAAACAGTGCAGGTAAAGAATAAATTACATTTTTTAAACAACAGAATAAAATTACAGCCGTATAATAACAATTTTTAGTAAATAACTATTTTATATAAGAAATTTAAAAGGTCTACCAAGGAAGAGAGAAATTACCTGCTTGAGGGCGCCGCTAACAGCATCATACTGATGTTCACAAAAGAAAATATGGTCTGACATCAGATATCCACTGCATGAGGACACATCATTTTTCTTTCTGATTTCACATTTCCCCTCTATAGCCTCTGTAGGCAGAACATGTGTTTCTTCACTGTAATAGACCTACATAATTTGCCGAAAAAGGAAAAAAAAAAGAGCAAAATAAAGCTAATGAATTCAACAGATACAACTTGCCTAAGTTAAAACATCAGAAAATGGATTACTTTGGACAGAAGTTAATACCTCTTGAATGTCTGAAGCATAAGCCTTCTCTGCAGAAACATCCTCAGGCCTGTAAAACCTTCTCACTTTAACTTCGGTGGAACTCAATTCAGCGTTCTTAGTTCCCTTTAGAACAATGATTTCCAATAATTGGCAAATAACATATGCCCGCAGCCCAACGTTCCTCCCAGCCTTAAAAACTTCAGCCTCCACCTTCTCGCCATTAAAGTAGCCAGGGTTGACATAGACATAATCGTCTGTAGAATATTCCACTCCATTGAAGAAGAATCCTGTCTTGGATGTGTTGAGTTTGAACAGTAACTTTTTCTCTTCCTCCTTCCTTATCATGCATGACTTGCATGATCCAGAGCCGAGGCCCATATCACCCAGTGGAAGACTAAAGAATGCCCCTCTCTCAGGCCAGTATAAGCTTTTGCAATAGTACTCTATCGGCAATTGTTTTATTTTTCTCTCTTCAGCTCTTGCCTGGTCAAGCTTATCGGAATTTGCATTCTCTTTTCTGTGCTGATGCCCCCATGGCCTTGATCTAATCTCCAGAAGAATTGTTCCCTTTATGTCCTTCATCTCTAAGGTCATACATTCATTTGTTAGAAACAGCTCCCTCTCATTCGCCGTATTTCCAAGAACAGTCTGGGATCCTCTATGCATGAGTCTTCCATGGAACATTTTGCAACCATCTAAGCTTTCAAACATGTACTCCACAAAATAGATGGCAGGGAGTTCATCTGAATCATCGACTTCCAATGACACTGCACCACCCACTGCAACATTTTCCTCACCAACGTAGGCTTGTCTATATAGAGGCTCATCAGCAGACGTTTTTCCTATAAGCTCACCATCCCACCCTAGTTCCTTCTTTCCAGAACTTGCCCGGACTTTCTTCAGAGAAGGAGGAGATTTCTCAGCTTTATCTGATTCCTGAAGATTATCTTCAGCATCATCTTCCTCATTTTCATTCTGCTCTTCCGCTTCATCCTCGGCTTTTGTCTCTTCATTGACCTGAACAGAATCCTCTGGAGAGTAATTGGAATAATACTCCCCCCAGATTCTGTTGATCAATCGAGTGGTTGTTGCTTGCATAGCCTTTCTCGTGGATGCCACAGGGGCCATACCTGCCCTTGGATTCAGATTTGGCTCTCTCTGCAAGATTTTCTTCTTTTTCACTACCCATTTGGTGTGGTGCCTCTCCTCCATTTTGTTTGCAAGACCAACAACAAATGGGCATCTTTTGATATCTTTATCTGGGAATTCTGCAAAAAGCTGCTGAATTATTTGCCCATGGACAACCACATATCTCTCGACAACTGCAGGGTCAGAGGAAATGTAAGCTTTATCGTCCTTCTTGAACCCTGCCATTTTCTTAATGACATCGGCAAATGAAAGCCTTGCAATCCTACTTTGCTCCTTCAGCAAAGTAATAATGCTAACCGCAATTCTAGCTGTTTTCATTACAGGTTCATACCATGGGGCGTACTGCTTTGAAGGTTTTCCAAGTCGATACCTGAATACAAGAAAAAGTTAGTGGCACAAAGGAAAAAACAGAAGACAAGAAAGAATCGTCGAATACAACTAGAAAGACAACATACCAGGCCATATCTGTTCGAATCGATATGAAGATCATTGAAGAGCCGAACTCGATCATCCACTCTTTGATTTGACTGAGAAAGACAGGCATGCCATCAGGATCGTGAGACTGAGAACCCCCAAAGGAACTGGAATCCGTATCAAGGCAAAACCCACTTCCATCATCATCAGTCACTATCCCAGACCCAAAAATAGTGACATCAATGTCAGCACAAGGCTTCATGGGAAGAAGCTCCAAGGAAATCAACCTTGAGTCAGAGTTGTACAATGCCCAATCGTGAAGCATACTGCGAGGAAGTTGATCAGTGTCATCCACCCCATAGTCAGGATCAAAAACTATTAGCTCGTCAGTTTCTTCTTTGGAGTTCCTATAATATGATGGGAGTGGATAATCGTTCGCAATCTCATCTTCATTGATCTTTACGTAGTATTTGTTCGAAGCAGAAGCTGAGCGGCTATTTTTCCTGGGCCTCATTGATTTCCTATACTCTTCATCTTGTAGAACCTTGGCCAGTTTTTCGTCCTCCTCGCCTGCATCCATGTGATCAGATGACAAGGCCTTCCTCACTACATTCACATCATTTCCACCAATCTTTATAGCACCATTGGAAGGCTTTGTATCCATTTGTGCAAAATTCTCGCGGTTGCTACTCTCATCTCTGAGAGCAACGAGAACAGGAATCTCTGCAAAGTTTGCATCATTCTTCTTGGCCGTCTCATCCAATCCAGCCAGTTGGTTATATATGAATTCACCTTGGGATATGACAAATTCTTTGATGGCAGCCCCACTAGAAAAGCTCTTGCTTCCAATCATCGATCTAACAACACCTGCTAGCAACTCGTCTAGACTGACATCAGGATCCCCACCTGAAGACTTGGACAATCTCTTGTACACCTCCACTGAAGCACGTGCCTTCTCGACAAAATAATCAAAAATCTTCTTATAGCCACTAGCAGGTTTGTGACAATCGTAATCTGCCAAATCAGTCGAAAGCCAGATCACTGGAGAGCCTCCTTCATAGCCAGAAATATTCCAAGCTTCTACCCGACCAAAGGATTGACACCTGATGCCCTTTTCTTTTTCCTTGTCAGAACTTTCTTCGAGCGACAAGATAAGACCTGTGATGAACATGTCATCAACTTCCAACATCTCCACAGGCTGTGGGACCCCATTTGAATCATGCAAGATGAAATCGGTAAGTCCCCTGGTTGGTCGAGCTTCATCATTCTGACCAGAAGTTAAGCGTATTGCGAGAATTTCCTCCTCCGCATACTGCTCCTCCTTCGATTCAACAATACAGGATGCTTCAGATATTCGGACAGATTTTTCCTTGAAATCTGTACAGGCAGCAGCTCTCCTTGGTCTCCTCCTGGAGGCATCCGGTAAATCAGCAGTATCTGGACAGCTTCTCTTCTTTGTCTGCCCAGTCTTTTTATCCTTAGCCTTTGTAGCTTCAGTTCTTTTCTTCCCTTTCTTAGTACCTGCTCCTAACAGAGAAAAATATTTGAAAGTTTAATGTATATGATCCATATGAGATAAAGGCGGGAGTTTCAAGATCAACTACAGAACATGAAAGAATATGACAGATTGTTAAAATATCACACATTCACAGTCATAGACGAGTTTTTACAGAAAGAACATACACATGCAGCACAACACCGATCGTTATACATACCAGAAAGAGCTGAAGAAAATACACATGACGAAAAAGCATAATCTAGAATCAATTGCACACAGAATGTTGAAAGCATAATTGATAACAAAGATTCCCCAGACATTTCAGAAAATCAAAACCAACCCCGTAAAATCACGCAATCCACAAAACAATATAATATCAAAATAAATGGTCTAATTCACGCTAAAATCCCACAAAATCCATACTGCAATCGAAGAAGGAGACGGAAATCGCCGATTTCATACCATGAGAAGAGGAATCAATGACGGCGTCGACAGGTTCGCCGGAATCAGCCGCAACGTCGCCATCATCGGCGGGGGATGAATTTAGATTAGTTGCAGATCCCATTGACAATTAACGATTATGAAAAAACGAGAGGGGTCAGAGAGAAATTTGCGAGCATAGACACAAACACCAACGAAAATTTGGGGTTTGATCAGGAGAGCAAATTTGAGAAACCCTAAATACTGCGATTGTGCGTGAACACTCTCTCGACTAAGCACTGCTTCACCGATGAGCCTCACGAGGCGGGAACCCAACTTTTCTTTTCCCGCCCAATCGTCATCCAGTATATATTTGTTTAAAATAAAATAGGCGGTACAAACAAATATGAATTGAATCATTTCAAAAGTTTACACAAATGATATCTATAGAAAAAAAAAATAAACATTTCGAGTTGGATATACGAAACAAGTGGAATAAATATAATGGATTTGAATGCGGAATCTAATAATATATAATAATCATATATAATCGTATCGTGTTGGCATAAAAAAATTAAGAAGTAAAAAAAATAAAAAATAGAAACAAATACCAAAATGCAAAATTAATAGTGTTTACCAAAACAAAAATCATTAGTGTTATATTATTTATTTATAAATTTCGTATCAATTTAACCAAATTCGGGACTCATAGCCCATGTAATTTGGGCCAAGACCCAGTTTATATGGAGCGTACACCATACCAATATATATGTATATTTTATTTTTAATCATTATAATCTAATTTTAATTTTCTTTGCTTTTAGGAATTGTTTAGATTTACTATTTCATGAATTATTCTTATTTAATCATCGTTAATAAGATTTCCAATTCTGCACCCTTCTTCTGAGCATCACCTCCTTCAATTGAAAAAAGTCTTAAATTAACTAAATTGGCATTAGTTTATTTTAAAATATTTGTAGAAAATATTATTTTTCTATTTTAGTATTATTGCTGAGCATTTCATTTGCACTGAATTAAAATAATCGTAATTAAATATTATAAATTATTAAAATATAAAAAAAAAAAATCAGTAGCTTGACAAAATCAATTCGCAATTAATTTTGAGTATATACTTATTGCGGAAGGTGCTAAAACTACGTCGTTTCATACCGAGAGCCGGAAACGCGCTGGGTATTCTGCTGACGTCGTGAAGGTTCCCGAGCTTGCTGAATTCCATCCGTAGGTCCACGTGTTCAACAATTACTGGCTACAATGCGTGTAAGGGCATGAAGCGCGCCAACAATAAATACGAGAAACTCTGGCGTGGCAATCAATCATTGGGGAGAATACTCTAGCAACGGTACACTCGGCCTCAGCCAAGTGCACTATAAATACTCCCTTCCTTCATCCTCTTCGTTTTGCTTCACAACGAAACCAGAGCACAAAAACATACAGAGAGACATTTAGAGAAAGAGAATTGAACCATGAAGATGACGAGAAGAGTATTTCTGTATTTTTTACTCTTTGTTGCTGCTTCAGGTAAATTGAATTTTGAATGCTAATCTGTTTTTTTCTTCAAGTTTTTTGTGTACTGTTTCGGATTCTGGTGCATGTTTTTCAAATTCTGATGTCATTGTCTGGATCCCAAATCCATAGATGAATCGATATCGTTCGATCCTGGATGTGTGTTCGAATCTGGATATGCAATTTTGTTTCGTCGAGTCATTTCCTGGAACGATAGTTCTGTAATTTGCCCTTAACCTAAGGATCAGCTGCATTTTCATGTAGCAATCTGTCTTAAGCATCTAAAATCCCATTCTTAATCAAGTTTAATCACTTGTCCAACTGGGGACAAAAAATACTTTCAATTTCTTTTAGCTCTAATGGTTTCGCGGAGCTCAGTATTGCTTCCTTTGATCATCTGTATCACTGTTTAATGTCGCGAAACCAAATAAGGCTATAAGTTGTTGAATTTTATTGTCCTTTTTATGCAGCGTTTATGTCGAATCTGATGATAGACGGCGAAGAACAGAAGCTAGGGACAGTGATAGGCATCGATCTGGGGACAACATACTCATGTGTCGGCGTGTTCCGTAATGGACACGTTGAGATCATAGCGAACGATCAAGGAAACAGAATCACTCCTTCATGGGTTGCGTTCACTGACTCCGAGCGTCTGATCGGCGAGGCCGCTAAGAATCAAGCGGCCATGAACCCCGAACGAACCGTCTCAGATGCCAAACGTCTCATCGGAAGAAGGTATGTATGTGAAAGGAAGCAATTCATAATGTATAGATGTCCACATATCACACAGATGGTGGGTTTTATTTAGATTGATGAAATTGAAACTTATTCGAGGTTTTTTTTTCTTTTTCGGTGTCTTTGGATACAGATTCGATGATCCTGAGGTTCAAGGAAACGTCAAGTACTTATCTTACAAGGTTGTCAACAAAGATGGGAAGCCTTACATTCAAATGAAGGTAAAAGGTGAAGAGAAACTGTTTAGTCCAGAGGAAATAAGTGCTATGATCCTGGGGAAGATGAAGGAAACTGCTGAAGCTTACTTGGGGAAGAAGATTAAAGACGCTGTTATAACCGTTCCAGGTATACACACACATACGAAAATTCTGGCATCTTAGAAACTAGTTTCTGTTGAAGATTTGCTTAGGACAAGACAGAAGTTTCCAGTTACTGTCTCAAAATCGGTTAAAACTACTGTTCTATGATGTTTTTGTTTAAGAAAACTATCGTTCTATGATGTATATATGTATTGTTTTTTGCAGCGTATTTCAACGATGCACAGAGGCAAGCGACCAAGGATGCGGGGACGATTGCGGGGCTCAACGTGCCTCGGATAATCAATGAGCCGACGGCTGCAGCCATAGCTTACGGTCTTGACAAAAAGGGCAGCGAATCCAACATCCTTGTATATGACCTTGGTGGAGGAACCTTTGATGTCAGTGTCCTAACCATCGATAACGGTGTCTTCGAGGTCTTAGCCACGAGCGGAGACACTCACCTTGGAGGCGAAGACTTCGACCACCGAGTCATGGACTATTTCATCAAACTGATCAAGAAGAAGTACAACAAAGACATCAGTAAGGACAAGAAAGCGCTCGGGAAACTGAGACGGGAATGCGAGCGAGCGAAACGGGCTTTGAGCAGTCAGCACCAGGTCAGAGTCGAGATCGAGGCTTTGTTCGATGGGATTGATTTCTCCGAGCCATTAACGAGGGCGAGGTTTGAGGAACTGAACATGGATTTGTTCAAGAAGACAATGGGACCGGTCAAGAAGGCTCTGGAAGATGCAGGTATGAAGAAATCAGATATCAACGAGATTGTTCTGGTCGGGGGAAGCACTCGGATCCCCAAAGTGCAGCAAATGTTGAAGGATTTCTTCGACGGGAAGGAACCGAACAAAAGGATCAACCCGGACGAGGCCGTGGCATATGGCGCTGCTGTTCAAGGAGGGATCTTGAGTGGTGAAGGAGGAGAAGGGACTAAAGGTAGAGAGTGTAATTCTATTTACAACAGAGAATGCTTGTTTCTTTGCAAGATTCAGACATTATATAAAATTTTTCGTGTCGTGTTTATGACAGGAATTCTTCTGCTGGATGTTACGCCTTTGAGCCTCGGAATCGAGACAGTTGGCGGCGTAATGACGAAGTTGATACCGAGGAACACTGTGATTCCGACGAAGAAGTCTCAGATCTTTACAACATACGAGGATCAGCAAACTACTGTCACCATTAAAGTATACGAAGGGGAGAGAACTTTAACCAAAGATAACCGTGAACTCGGTAGATTCGATCTTACTGGCATTCCTCCTGCACCCAGGTATGAAAACTCGGGCCTTGAACCGCTGTTGAATCACATGGATGTAGTACAGAACAAGCTGTTTTTCAATTATTCCCAAGAACCGTACCGAAACGCTTATATCAAAGAGTATAAAGATAACTGAAATCCCGATTCTTTTTGTGTGTAGTTTTAGTTTCTAACTATAAATTCAGTTACTCACGATGTAAGAAAACAACGTTTCAGGGGCACACCACAGATCGAAGTGACATTCGAAGTAGACGCAAACGGAATCCTGCACGTGACGGCAGAGGACAAAGCCGCGAAGAAATCTCAAAAGATCACGATCTCGAACGAGAGAGGCAGTCTAAGCCAAGAGGAGATATACAGGATGGTTAGAGAAGCCGAGGAATTCGCTGAGGAAGACAAGAAGGTAAAAGAACGGATCGACGCTCGGAACAAGCTCGAAACGTACGTTTACAACATGAAGGGCACGATCGGCGACAAGGAAAAGCTCGGGGATAAGATCGAGAAAGAGGATAAGGAGAGGATCGAAGGTGTTTTGAAGGAGACGTTGGAGTGGTTGGATGAGAATCAGAATGCCGATTGAAGGAGGTCGAGACAGTTTGCAATCCGGTTATCAAGTCGGTTTACGAGAAAACCGGTTCCGGTTCGACTGGAGGTGGTGAGAGTGAGGAAGATGGAGGTGATGGTTACGATGAATTGTAGAGTTGTACTTTTCTTCTTTTTATGATACGAAATGTTCTTGACATTTTTTTTTGGTAACGGTAACATTAATAATAGTTTTTTTTAATTTCTATAATACAATTTTGTATTAATCTGTTTGGTACCGTATGTCGACTTTATAAATGGAATTTTGATATAAAATAGAAAAGAGAATGCTTTCTGAATCCTTGAAAATAGTAATCCTATAGAATAATATAATATTTTCAATTTTAGGATGAATATGCTACGGATTTATAAGATAATAACAATAAATCAAAAAGGCGCATCTGGTGTAGTGGTATCATAGTACCCTCCCACGGTACTGACCGGGGTTCGATTCCCCGGATGCGCAATTTTAAATTTAATTTTGTTTTTCTTTCCTTGATCAAAATCTGTTCAAGAAAAAAAAATATCTTAATACCATTTGCAAAGGGTGTTTCGTAGAACCCATTAAAATTTTATTCAATAAAAAAAAAAATCATGAATCCTATTATTTTCCAGTGGTGGAATGTGGCCTATTAAATAAAGATAATGATAGCGATAATTTTGAACGGATTTCTGGATTTTATAGGAATATACTCTTCTTTATATTGACTCAGTTTAATGTACAACTTATGAATAGATGGAATATACTATGTAGGAAACTTCAGGTTGAATCTTAATCATGAATATCTTTGCAATTTTTTTTATAATCCATAAATTTATTAGGTACTTGACCCAACTAAATCTTCCAAAAGATCGGTGAATATTTTTGTCCACGTTTGGAATTGAATCCGAAATAAGAGTATATTTTGACGAAGATAAAACATTGTTTATGCTGGATAATACAGTAAAAGGTGATCTATGAGCGCTGGTTGAATGGATTTGTGAATCTTTTTTCTCGATCAAAAGTTACATGTTTTGACAGAGTTTCCAAGTTTTGGTTCCACGGCTCTCAGGCCTCACGACCATTGTTACGAAGGCAGCATGCTCCTTAACGAAGAACGCAGGACGTGACTCAAGGAAGAGCTCGATAAGCGAAATACCTTTCTTTGGCCAATCTTTAGAGGCAGAGCTTCGGGTTCTAGTGTAGATATATCTAAAACAGATGTTCGAATCTCCACCGTCTCGTTGCATAGCTCTGACCTTCGAAAAACTCGGGTACTGATCACATCGCGAAGGTTTTGCTATCCAAATTTGAAGTACAAGGAACCAGAAACACAAACATTAGATCACATCAGTGACAAGGACAAACAGAAAAGAGATTTGGGTTCCGTTATGGATCCACATGAACAAGAGAGCAGACAGATGTCTGAGCTTTTGTCCCAAGATCACTTCTTTATCAGGGACCCATATAAATAAACATGCAAAATTTTCTTGGGTCAGACTAAAGATCGAAACTTTTTCTTTCCGTCTAAAGTCCGAAACTTGGAACTCGTTGTTCTTTGTCTTCAGTCCAGTTCGTTTAGATAAAATCCCCGAATCGAAATATCGACCCCTAAATGATATACTAACAAGTACTTTTAGAAAGGAGAACAAAAAATAGTTCAAAAATGGAGAAAATTTAATGAAAATCATTTCCAGAGAATATGAAATACAGAAGAGGTCACGGTTATGGAGAATTATTACCTTCTATCAAAAAACAAACCATCAAAAACAGGGATAAAAGGTACACAATTTCTTCTTCTGCAAGGCCAAGTTTTCGGAATCAAACGTTCCGAATTTCAGTTTCGGGTAGCTTCTGAATCTCGCTTCGGAGGGAGCTTCCACACGATAGGCGGAAGTCTAGGGACCTCGGGGATCACTGGCCTGGAATCCTCTATTTGATTCAGAGGCTTATTCACCGTCGTCCCTTTCTTCAAAAGAAAACTTGGCTGTGCATCCTCTATTTGATCCAGAAGCTTACTCGTCGTCGTCGTTGCTTTCTTCGAAAGAACGTTTCTATCAGCTCTGTGCTCCGAGTCTGGGATCCTGCTGTCCGAGACAGAAGCTCTGTCACGAGCTTTAGCTGGTTGCTTCTTCTTCGGGGAATTTTCTCGTTTCCTCGGTTTTGTCATGCTCCTCATCTTCTTTGTTGTGAAAAAGCCTGATTCAAGTGCTTCTAGAGCTCGAGTCGTCAATGGCCGCTTTCTTGTGCTTTGTCTTCTAGGAACATCTGTGTTAATCTGATGTTCTTGTTCTTGTTCCTGTTCTTGTTTTTGCTCAGATGAACTGTGTGGTTCATGGGAGGTTCCCAGTTCCTTGGAAGAACAATTATTCTCTAACTTTGGCATTGACAAGGGCTGAATTAGTTGACCTTGTTCTTGGCTAGTTCCCAGATCCTTGGAAGAGCATTTCTTGTCCAAATCCGACACAGAACAGAACCGATTTGTTTGTTCTTGTTGTTCTGACGGTACGGGTTCATGCAGAGTTCCTTGTTCCTTGGAAAAGCAGTTCTTGTCTGAATCCAACATCCAAGAGAACCCATTTGGTCTAATATCTCCATCATCTTGAATCTTCAAGAATGGATACTGCCCACTTACAGGCTCTTCCGTTTCATCAGGCTTCGAGTCAATATTCATTGAGAACACGGTTTCAGATTTCTCTTCGTTCTTATGATTCATCTCTTCACGAGAACTATCTTGGCAACGAACCTCACTGGGGATATCAGGACAGCAGAGTCTTATCTGGTCGGATTCAGACGGTTTGATTGACGCATTTTCGCCTGAACGGCTTATTTCCCTCCTAACGCAAGCACTGAGCCGCCTGCGTTTCAATAAGGGGACAGAATTAACTGTATGATCGTTAGATTCTGCTCTCCGGATGAACTTATGCTTGATAACCCTCTTTGATCGATCCCGATCCATCAGATTCTCGCGAGAATTCAGATTCTCAAACGGATTTTTGTTTGTTTTCACCTCAAACCCATCTCGGGTCTTTGCAGATCCATCCATCGAATCACCAGAAGAGACCTCTCTGGAGATGCCTTTACTCGTGTTGCTTAAATCTTCTTCACCCGGTAAACGTGTCCATTTACGTAACCCGGATGATTTTCCCCCGTGGTCCAGACTCGTATCCACAATCGTGAATTTCATCGGGTCATCGACCAGATTGTTTGCACGTCTTCTTTCCGTTTTCCGTCCATCAACTCCCTTGACATGCTTCTTTCCATCCACCACCGGAATCATTTCGCAGGCTTTTTCCGGTTCTGACTTGTCTGGGACGTTTCCCGAAACAGAAACACCGATCTCTCCTCGACTCAGTGCAGATCCGGGAACCGGAGATTCCATGTCCAGATTCCTCAGCTCACGTAATTCACACAATTTCCCCCCTCCATCCAAACTAGTGTCCACAACAGTGAACTTCATACGCAAATCCCGACGGTTAGAACCTGGTGACTTGAGGTAACGGTGACGCTGGCTATCACGCAGGGAAAGTTCTTGATCCGACGGGTCAGAAGAGTCCTCTGCAACAAGCTCGTTTCCGGGTCTGACCTCTCCACCGGCTTCAAACTCGAGAAGCTCGGGATCGGAAGCAACCTTTTTCAGAATGTCACTGACAGAATCAAAGTAATGTTCTCCTCTAACAAGTTTCCGTCTCGAAAACTTCTTCACGCCAGGAACAAGGAAGACGAGGTAATCTTTAGACGTGACATAGCCACGGTCCTTTGGCTGTTCCGAGTGCCAGCCTCTTGCCAGTAACCGTGGCCAGACAGCTTCCCAGAAGATATCGTTACAACGAGCTTTGCTCAGACGGGAACCACCTGTCAATTCCTTAACTATGTCACCAGATGTGAGTGAAGCATAAGCTCCTGCACAGGCAGATGCAGATGAGTTCGAAGAAACCGTGAACCACTGTTTGGTCCTGACGGGTTCTGTCGCGACAATTGTCAGATCTTCTTTCACTTTACCGATCGCCATTGCATCTACAAGAGCCCCAAGGCCCACAATTTCTTTCAGCGAGATGATGTAGTTCTCTAGTGAAGTATGCCCTTCGGCAAATGACTTCGAGACCTGCCAATGGTGGAAAAAAAAAAGATGAAAACTAGTAAACCCTCATTAAAACCGAGCAAAAAATTGAGAAAACTGATACGAGATGCATCAAGAACTGTGTTATGCAAGATGCAAGATTCTGGAGTATTTTCTGTGCAAAGTACGTGGAAGAGGAGACTCACATTCACGAGCTTATCTTTCTGAGATTCATCGGGAAGGTTGGGAATCAAACGGGATAACAACTGTTGCTGCCTCCAACCTGAATAAAGCTTCATTCCACATACGCACTTCCGGTTTCGTTTCTTACGAGAATCAGACCAACTCCGGTATTTTGCGGATCTGTAGAACTTCCCATAGTAAAATAACAGTATCTCTCCGATTTCTTTATTCTCCATGAACTTCTTCACCTGAGTAAAATTCTTCCCGAATGTATACAGCCCAAGAACGAAGCTCTCCACTTCAGAGACTTCCCAAGACTCAGCCGATTTCCCAGGAACAGCTTCAAGATTCGACGTTTTCTTTTTCTCTGTCGTAGATTCCGAACTCCCATCGGCCTGGCCTCTGATCTTCAGACAAGAACGCGTACCTTTTGCTTTTAAAGATCTGAGAGATTCATTCATGTCAACATTACTATCTTCAAGTCCCTGTTCATATCCGTGTTTCCCAGTTCCGCTATCAATCCATATCACTTGGACAGGTTTTCCCACGCAAAAGGAATACGAAGAAGAATCAGAGACGATATCTGAAGCAACGGGGTTCAACAAAAGAGATGCACGCTCAGATTCAGACATCAATGGAGGAATCTCGACCTGGTATTCATCTCCAACCCGAGGATCAACTTGCGGGTCTCCACATGCATATTCCACATCGGAGGAATCCTCGGGATAATACGTTTGCTCCATAGGATTGCTTTCATCATCACTTAGACCAACCATCGTAAACGATAAAGAACTCTGTGATTGAAAACCTCTGCATAAATGGAGAGTCATATTCCAACGTTAGCAGATTTCTTCCACGAATCGATCAAACTAAGATCAGACATATGATTACCTAATTTTCACTGCTTCACAAGCTCCAAGAACATATCATCAATTCATGAACATTGAAATCAACTGGCAGCGAAATTTATAGAACGAGGCCATATGATTATTATCTGCGGTAGACAAATTCTTTTGAGATCAACACAAATCTGAGAGCTTTTGATATGATGACCCTAGAGGGAAAATGATATTGGTTTCAATGCCAATCAGATAGAACAGGTTAATGAGTAGATGCTAAAATATCAAATTCTTGAATCCCATATTTGCCCAAATCTGCAAGTTTTTCGATAACACACCGAAACTTTAACACATTCAAAGATCAAGATCAAGATGTTCAGAGATCAAGAAAAAGCTACAAACTTTGATGCAATTTTGAGAAAACATGGTACATGTTTCCAGACAAATCCAAAGGGAAAGCTTAAGAGCAGATACATACATACATACATACATACATACACTGTCCGAAACTTTAACACGTTGGGCTGAATTGAGTGTTCATCTATTCCAGATCACATCACCAAATTGAACAGTCAACAACTTGAGATCATAAAAGTGAAGAAATACCAAATCTTAAACAATCCAAGCCATGATCATTGAACCAAACACACAAGGACAACAAATCTAGAAGAACCCAGATAGGATTTATCCAGAGATACGGAAACGGGAGGAGGCAAGCCGAAAAATCTACCCTTTCAGAGCCAAATTCCATTGAGACACAGACCCATAACCAAGAACACGGCTAATCTCACACGATAATGACACAAAACGCGACCTGATCAAAGCAAAACCACTTGCATCGATCCCGAACATCAACAACTTGTAGCATAAACATGTAATTCTCAGTGATCCCATTAGGGATTAACCCATGTGAAGAAAAGACGAACAAGACGAGGGTATCGCATTGGAACGCAAGAACAGCAGCGCAAGTCGGAATCTTTACGCAGACAGAAACATGAAAACACGAACTCTGGACAAAAGGGTAACTCATGAAAGGATAGATTCAGCATCTATGTCCGATTCTTCCCTCGATTTCTATACATTACCAGTAGCTTTGCGACACAAGAAACCCAGAAAGAGGAGAAGAAGAACGAGAACGCGAAAGCAATGAACATGAATTGCCAAACACGGCATAAGAATAAACGGGGAAAGAGATTGATAAACCTTTGAGTTTTTGTGAAGGGGAAGGGGTTCTAGCTCTGCATTGTTCGCGTTTCTGCGAGGGGGGAATTCTCGAGTGGACAAAGAAAGCTAAGAAACCGAAGAAGTTTCGTTTTTGTGCAGAGAGAGAGAGAGAACTGACCGCTCTTTCGACGCAAAGTCTTCAAGAGAGAACAAAGAGGAACACAGAAAAAAATCACTTACGAAAAACAAATTTTACATATTATCATCCCCAAATTTTAGTGTAAGATATAATAGAATTAACCATTATAAACAACCCCTCTAACCTCTTGGATCTTCCTTGAATTCTCAATTTTTTTTGGTCAAACTTATGTGATAATTATATTAAACTTAATTAACAAATACTCGTCACATATGTTTCAGCAAAAAAAAAAAATGTAAAATTTCATGAATTTTCAATGGTTTAGAATTTTTATCTTTTAATTTCATGTGGGTTATATATTTGTATGCATTTTTAAAAACACGGGAATAGGAAATGATAGGATTTTATTTTTATACATGAGAATAATCAAACTTGGTTATATTTAGTTTTAATGCGACATTTGTGTTTTGTGTTTATAGCTTTTAGAACATAGTTTTTATATCGTATGGCTAGCTAATGGTATTTGTATTGTAATTTTGTGTTTTTTATATGCTTTTAGTCCATTAATTTAAATAGTATATCGATCATTACGACAGTAAAGAACGTATTTTCTTTTAGGAATGGTTTGATCCTTAAAATTATGGTAAAGTTGAAAACGAATAAATATGGTAAATACTCTTAGATATTCCTACTAAATATGTAAACCCAAAACAAATATTGCCCAGAACCGTAATATATATATTGTTTCACTATTATATTTTCCATATGAATGAAATGTGATATTTTGTCAAAAATTTTAGCAAGTTATCAGTGTCAACAAAAAATACATAATATGAATTTCTAACATTTTTTTTAAGTTTTTTATAATTCCAAGAGAGGAAATATTTAGTACATATTCTAAATAATTTAAATACGATCTGTATAATAAATTTTTTAGTCAACAAAATTACAGAGTTTTTTAAATATCTACTGAAAGTATAAATTGACAATTATTTTTATTTTTACGAGTCATATATATATATATATATATATATATAATATTCTAAACAAATATATTTCATAAATTCTTATATAGATAAAAATATTCCAATTTGGTATACTGTAAAATAAATAAAATTTACATAACTAAGTTGGGTGGTTCAACCGGTAAGTAATATAATAAAGCTCATTTCCAATCCATGTTCGACTTCTCATTTGGAGAGATCGATTCACATGGACTTCTCCGATATAGTTGAGTCAAAGGCCTGGTAAATTTACGGATTATAAAAAAAATTATATTCTATTTTGTTATTTTAAAATTATAGAAAAACTTGGCCAAAAATCTATAATTTTAAAAAACTTTTAACATAGATAATATCGTTTTAATTTGAATTCATTAAGTGTTTTACATTCCACGTCTTATTATAATTTTTATGTGATTTTTGGAAAAGTTATATCCTTCTTATAAGATTTGATCGGTTAAATTTTATTTATATAAATAACTTTACTATTATGTATATAATTATTTAGTTATATGATTATGTTTCTATATCTTATATGTTTAATTTATAGTAGGGATACCAGAATTTGGTTTTAATTTTATATCATACTGACTAACAATTTAATTAAAATGATACAAAATTGTGGTTCGAAATCTAACAAAGTAAGAGTGCGCATTATTTGTTTCAATTGGAGAAAATTCAATTATTTCACCAATCCATTTTTATACATTAACTTCTATTCTGTTTTCTTTACACAAAACCTAAAAAACTATTAGTCCCTTTTTTTTAATATATATAAGTTACTTCTGAATTTTAATTTCTCCAAGTCTTAGAAATTAAAATGTAGCTGGTGTGGCTGGAAAAATAAAACTTTTTTTTGTCGGTGACAAGTATTTTTTATCGTTATTAATGGGCCTTAATCGTAGACCCATGGCCCAAAATCGTAACATGGGCTTGAATAGAAATTACTGAATCATCTTCTTCCTCTCTCGTTCTGTCCACATAATGTGAGATTGTTTCCTAATTCCTATCATTTAGGGCTTCAATACATTTTTTTTTGGGTATTTTGATTCTTTTTTGTATTCTGGGCTTTGATTCGTTTCCTTTGTTCATTTTTAAATAGCATTTTTTGAATTAAAAACTATGTGTTTATTCGCTTTTATATTTAGGATAGAATGTATCCAAATTCGGTTTGTGTTTGCTTCTATTAATTTGTTTGCTTTTGTTTTTTTTATTGGATTGGTTCATGAAATTCATAATCATTAACCTTTAAATTTATTTTATTTTGGATATTCTTGAATTCCCAAATGTCCGTAACTGTCGTCATGGGTTCTGTTTATCCGTAATTTCTCTAATTTCCAGTTATATATGCATATATTTGGTATTTTTCAAATTGTTTTAAAAAGAAAAGAAAATTATTTTTTTCCTCACAAAACAAATAGAATTATGAAAAAAAAAGAAAATAATTAGTAATCTTGTTGGCCCAAATAATTAGAAAATGGAGAAATATCTGTATCATTCTTGGAAACTAAACAAAGTCTAAATGAATGCTGATACTTTTCACCTTTTTGTTTGGTAAGAACGTTTTCAGGCTTTTACCGTAACTAGATTGGGGCTCCTGCTCTTTGTTGGGTGTCAATATATTTAGCTTTCCTCAGCGTAGATGTTACAATTTAGCCATATATATATATATATGCATACATGTAATGACTAACATAACGCAGATGACTATCATACAACAGGTACACCTACATTCGTGTATAATGTATGTGCGTGTCAACAGATATACACACATTTACATTCAGAAAAAGTATAAATAATCGAAGCAACTTCTAGTCTTTATCCATTTTCAGAATCAGAACCATTCGGGCATGCATTTGGGGTAGAGCTGTTTCTGGGTGGCGATGGAGGAGAGGCCACGGAGCTCTTTCTGAACCTTGCGTCTCTCGTAGAAGACGGAGCATGCCAGTGATTTGCATTTCACCCCACTCTCCACCACCCAGTCTCCCCCTCCACACTCTCTGCACATCTGCGCGTTCAGGATCATACATCAAGTTTCAGCCATGGACCGACCGACCCGCGGAATCGGGATTCGATAATATATTAGATCTCGCAAGATCGGCTTAAGGTATATACTTACAGCGGCTAAGTGTTGCATCTCTTTCTCCAACTTGGAAGTTCTCCAAACAATGGTTGCAGCAGCATCGCTTTCTTTCTGCATGCATCCATTGCATAGATGATCTGTGGCCTGAACCAATTCCCCACACAACATGCAATGCTTCGACAGATAATAGTAATCGATTCTAGTCCTGTGCGAAATTCCCGCGTTTAGAGGACGTCGCCGACCGATGGAGTCTCGGGTGGGACGAGGCATCTCCAAAAACCACTGGTTCAAATCTGCACCCACGAGCCCAAATACCCTTTGAAGCGCTGGGATAATTTGTTTATTGATGTAGTATAAGTCGTTTAATCGGTAGGGCGAATCGATATCCAAAAGATCCAATGGATCCACCACCATGTCAACGAGGCGAGCTCCCGGTTCCCCGTGGACCACGACATATGGGACTCGTTCAGCATAGCGTGGCTCTGCCCGTGGGTCTGATCTCATTGCCTTTGTAGCCACAATAGCTGCAGGGGGAAGTAGTGAAGAATCTCTCGAGCTGTAAGTCCCGAGCCGAACTTCTTTGGCGAAAACAAAGTCTTGAAGTGACACCCTCCCTGATAGTATCCGTTTCCACTGGCGATACAAGTACGACTTAACCTGCAAAAATGAAAACCGCAAAATTAGCATGTCGACCTATGCAATCTCAACTTTAATGTGGAAAACCCGAGTTTTTACCTTAGAAATATCCTGATGCTCGAAGAAGAGTCTCAAAGACTGTTCCATTGTTTTGGCAACAGCTTCACAAGTGTCTCTCCGAACAGTTTCGATACCTTTTGCATCGAAGAGAGGCTCGGTCTGGTCACGACTTTCATAGCTGTAACCGACATAGCGTTTCTTGGTAAGAAGGAAACAAGGATGATAGACTTTCTCCATCTTTAAAGTGACCGGATGTGGGTTCATTTTAGTTACTGCAGATGCAATCTCTTGTCCAATTTCAAATGCTTCTTTTACTGTTCGTCCTTTGAGGAGGACAAACATACTGCACAAGTTAAACAAAATTTATTTGAGGCTACACAGAAGAGTAAAATGAAGAAATATCAGTACATAAATACTTGGGCAGATAAATGAAACAGACGTATCACTCGATTGTTTACACTTCTAAGTATAAGAGAAACCTCGAGGACATACTTTATCTTGTAAAAGTTTTAAAAAAAGGTGTTAAATCGACATATATCAGTTAATTCCTATATTCACATCATTCCAGAGAGTAGAGTACGGAAATGTACCTATCGGTGTCGCCATATACAACTCTAGCTTTCCACTTGTCATTCGCATTGACAAACGAAATAGCCTTCTCAAGTGTGCTACGGCCACATTGGACAATACTATCTGCCAACTCTGCACAAGGCATGCGGCCACTGAAGCCAGCGGCGGGGGAGCCATATGTCACGTTCGAAATCAACTTCAAAGCAAGCTGCCTTGCGTTTAATATCTGAAATCAGAAAAAAAAAAAAAAAAAACTTCATCATCAAGTAATCAAGTTGCTTCTTACAAACCGAAATGTTTCAGTCACATACAAAAACCTGAACTAAACTTTAAGCTTCTAAAACTTGTGACACTCTTAAAGCAAAACATAAGGTTGTGAATCCTGCGTCAGATCAAGAATCAGTAATCCTACCCGTTGAAGAACTTTTTCTGAAGGAGTCAACTTTTTCATAGCGTTTTTCACCATAACTCTAGTAGATAATATTTCCTCCAGCAGCCTTGGCAATATACCTTTGCGCACCTAATGTAGAGAGAAAAGTTGGCTCGGTTAAGCGTTTCAAGAAATAGGATAAATCAGCAAAGGAAGAAACAAGAAACTTGATTCTACTGAATATGATGACCTTCGGGACTGCAAACTTCTAATAGCAGGAAGAGGAAGATACCTTTGGATGTACATACATAACGCCATTGGGGGTAAGCAGAATCTGATTTTTTAAATCCTGAAAAACACGAGGCTCAGGAGAGTATGAGCTAACCCCAAGTGTGTTTATCTTTAGGTTTGAAAATTTTCCGAGGCATGTGCAAAAGCACAGATTATACCCAATGATCATTGAAGGGTAGAGAGATTGGAAATCCAAAACAACAACAGGGTCAGAGTAGAAGCCAGATTCTGGTTCCATCACAAGAGGTAAACACTCCATTGCCGGTTGAGAAGCAACCTACAAGCCTAGCCAAACTAAATTAGGAGTCCTAGCAGCATAACTTGTACAAATCCGTAGATTTAGACCAGAGACAGGAAAAAAAGTGAAGAAAAAACAAGAAAAGTTATGCTCTTATAGGTATCAAGAGATCACAGGAAATTTAGGCAAAACTTCTAAAATGCTAACTTTAACATAAGCATGCAATTAACCTCAAGATTTCATTCTAAAGAAAATTAAGTAGAAAACTGCGAAGTGCAAACGAGAATAAATTTAACCTGTTGGTTTCCTGGAGAAATAGCAAGATAATTTTGTGTATGTGCTAATCTCAGAAACATGGATTCGACTCGGTATTGGGATCCTCGGGAGAGAACTGAGAAGAAGTCAATGCCAAACACACGAGCAAGTTCTGACGTTCGGTTTATCTGCAAACAACAGATATGTATTAACGGGATAAATAACTTATGAACAAGTAACTGAATGGAACAACTAGAACATATCACTTACCATATCAAGTTGGCTCATTATCTCGAGATTCAAATTTGCTCTGCGAATCACATATTCTATACATCGATATCTTGCACCTCCAGCACCACTTGAAAACCATTTTGTCAACACTTTATAGGGGATTGATGGGATCTTTCTCCTCAAAACAGCTTCTGCCACAGCTTCAATTGTGTACATGTTAAGTTTCACCTCACCACGCATCAGACGCCATACATTGAGAACAATTCTACCACCAACATGAACGCCACTAGCATGTGTTCGGCCCCACTCATCCACTACTACAGATTCCTCTATTTCAGCAAGATCAGCTATCAATGGATCAGGCATCATATTACCCAGATTTCTCTTCTCATCTATACCCGTTCTTCCAGAAGTCATTGTTATCTGAGATGGTGTTCTAGATATATTATCAAGCAATCTTATACCAAGCCGAGCAGCTCTTTCAGCTAGAAAACCAAGAGAACCACCTTGAATATCCCAGCCCATGAGAATATCTGGGTCCCCTTTACACAAAATCTCAATGAAACGATTAAATAATTGCCTCTCCTCAAGGAAGACAGATACATTGCATCCAGATAGGCCATCAATATTTCTGTAGGGAGATAGCGACAATAAGAATTAACAGGCACAGTAGAAGGATAAAGATGTTAAAATATAAATGGTCAGCAAGTCATAGTAACATGATGAACATTAATTAGCGCAGCAAACTACATGGTGTATGTCTAAACTAGCTTTTCCCATTCAAATGATAGCCATTCCATCTTTCATCAATTCTAATGCGAAGAAGAAAATGAATAAGGCTTTCTCCACATAGAAATTTAAGCTTCAAAAGAACCAAATAAAATTATACTAGACTACCTCTGGCAAACGCTGCTTTGACTAAATAAAAGAACAAATACTTCGGCAGCGGAATCATTATCATTCTGCACTGCAAGAACTATGATATTAACAGCATCAAACCGAGGATCAGGTCGCAGGTCCCCTCTAGACTCTGCATGAATCTGTAAAGTTATGGATGCAAGATATGTATCAAACGAATATTCTTCTCAGAAACAGAAAATATCCTAGTAAATTTACACCACAATTACACCACCCACTTATGTACAAAACAGTTCATATAGGATAAGGGTCCACTTTACAGAAATCATTCTTAATTGCCAAATACCAATATACATCTGAAAATATCACAGTAAACTCTCAGTTTCATATGCGTATTTTCAGAATAAAGGGATTAAATTATAATCAATACCTCTATACTCAGCATTGCAAGTTGTTGCCCAGCACCAATGCTAGCAGGGTCTCGGAATCCAATTTGGCTTAAAGGAGTGGCTCCTGATTCCCCATCAGGACCTGAAATCTGAGACATGTCTTGTGAAACATTAGTCCGCAGATCTAAGTTGACAGACTTTCTCTTGCCCTTCGAAACTGCCTTTGGCTTGGGATAAGCATTCGGCTCTGGGCTGGCAATAACATCATTATGTTGCTCCACTTGCGCACATATAGACCCCACATTGGATGCAGAAGCAGAACTTGTGGAAATCATGCCACAGTCATCACCTGATGGCTTAATTTCTGAATCAACATGACACTGATGGGAACCTGAAAAAGTTCTGTGACGTTAAACAAAAATGCTTTGGACTTCTTTTTCCAGCATCCAACACTAAATCAACTAATTCCAGTCTTCTTAAGTTAAAAAAAAAAAGTCCGAATTGATGTATAATTTCTTTTTCGGGAACATAAAATATGAGAATAAAATGCTACTCAGGCAAGTTACTACTTGTAAAGCACCTTCATCATTTGATATCCATTGTGAAACAGATTTCACAGAAGGAGGAGAAAGGGCAGGCGTTAGCAGGTAAAGGCAAGAGCCATCATTGAGATAATGCGAAGGAACACCAAGAGAAGCTTCTTGGACATGGTGCTTCTTCTTATCCAATTTTACTTTGGTTTCCTCCAAGAAAAAAGGGTGGATCTCCTTGGAGTCTCCCGCCTCTTCCAGAGAAAAAAGTGTACAAGATTTCAGAAGCAACCTCAGAAAGAAGCACATAAGTCCAAAAATTGAATGGGAACAAAAACAAAAACAAAAGCTTCTGCATCACATTAAATTTACTCGACCTAAACTTCAGATTTATAAATTTCAACATCAATGGTATTAATAGGAAAGTAATGAGAAATATATAAAATAAGAATCCCCATCAACAGTTTGGTGAGGCAAAAGATAACACAACCTTATTCTGAATAAAATGATAGAAGAAGCAACAAAACTAGCATTAACAATGTGAATAAAGGTACCTGATCCATTACGCTCTTTGTCATTGGCATGAAGAAATTGGAGAGGAATTGCGAGAGAGTGTGAAGAATCTTGCAGTCTAGAATTTGTGCAGTCGAAAACAGGAGGTTTCCTGTTTAAGGTTACGCATATTAATCTTCCTGCCTCACCAATTACAATGGCAGACATATGTTCATGCTCATCGCCAGCGTTTTGTGTATTTGTCATCGCTATGCCAATGAGTTCATTGCTTGACACCTTTTCTCCTGGTTCTAGAGAAGTTCTTTGTTCCTCACTGAGATCATGTGAACTATCTAGCCCTCCATGTGGAACTGTTGCAACTGTAAAGAGGCTTGCCACTGGATTCATGTTTTGTCCAACCGTCTCATTAGCCGAATTATTATCAATAGAGTGGAACTTAGCAGACTGAGTCTCAGACAAAGAATAATGCCCGCGGACATTACAGTAAGAATTTCTAACTTCTACAGCAGATAAAGTCTGAGGAACATAACCATAATAAGGTTCACCAAATTGAGCAGAAAAATCAGGTTCTTGTTTCTTGACCTGAGATCTCAAAGAAGGCGTCCACTCCTCTTTCTTGGGGTCCTTAGAATCTTTAGTCTCCGTTGAAACCTTCATAAACTTGGCATGTTCTGACTCAGGTGATTCTGCACGGCATAACCGTTTCTTCCTCATCAAGTCCCGCAAAGAACATCCAGCCAAAACTTTTACATCCATTGCATTAGAAGCATCTGTATTTGGTTCTCTGATTGAAACATTTGACTTATTTCTTAACTCAGTTGCAGCCTCTAAACTTTTGGTTGTTACACGAAATTTCTCCCTGATGTCTGAACGAATCGACTCAAACTCATTCTCAAGATTTCTCGTCAATGAAAAAGGTAAAGGTCCCCACATAGATTTGCTCTGCTTGCGCCTACTACAGAAGCTCCTACCCATCTTCACTGACACTTTAGTCTTATTTAAATCACTCTTTGTGTATCTCTGGAATGAATTATCACTTGATCCATCTGAAATGGAGATTTCTGGAGCATCACCAGAGGCCTCTGTTTCAGAAGATTCTTTGGCTGACAAAGTTTGAGGATTTCGACTATGAAGATCAGTACATGAAGCCCCTTCATTCAGATCTCCTATGTCAGGTAGATCTTCTTGTGAATCAAGGATGTCTTGGCATTCCTTTTGGGATTGGCTTTCATAATCTGTATTAGCCTTTACAAGAACTTTATCAATTGACACTGATGGCAACAAAGGACTAATGATACTTTCCCGCAGAAGTTCATCATCGGAGTTTATCTCCTCAACAGCCTGGGATGAGGCAAGCCACTTTAAGAGACCCAAGGCTTCAGCATCTGTAGCCTGGAAAATACAAGATATAGAAATGAGACTACATATTGAACGAAAAGTGAAATCTCCAATGTGAAAGAGACAAAAAAAAAAAGAATGCAAAATCAGCTTTAAAATCCCCTATATAGGAAAACAATTAGCATTACATGATGCAGGAAAAACAGATGTCACCTTAAATTCTGGTGATACTGTTATTTCAGGTCTGTCTCGATCGGTTAGTGGTCTAATATATGCATCATGTTCCGTGGACAGTACTTCATTCATCTCTTTAGATGGAGAATGATGTGCAGATAAGGAGAACTTACTGTCTCCATCAACTGTATGATGCAAAACTTGCAAATCAGAACTTTCAGGTTTGACCTGTGGATCTAGGTCAGCTGGAGATGATGCAGTAGGCTTCAAATTAGACTGGGATAAAGATAAGTTATGTTCAACTTCAACTTGCAGTTCTTTTAATTGATTTTCAAAACCAACATGATGTGACAGAGTCTTCAACACATCTTCAACAAACGGTTTGCCAGGATCAGGAGGTATAGCTGCCTCGTGCTTCCCAGTCCTTTCATATTCTTCCTGAAACAAAAATAATGCAGCTGTTCAAGGAACTACCAACCAAATAACTCTGGATTCACAAAAGAAAGCCGGGAGCAAAACCTCCCAGATTGCCACTAGAGACTGAACCATCCTGACATCGGACTGAGTTTGTGAAAGAGAGTTGTACATTTTAAATTGTTGATTAATAATATCTGCAAGAAATAAATGACCAGTGAGTTCATTAAAAAGTGCATCCCTAGGTGAAACAAACACAAGGATACTTCTTTTCAGGAAGCTAACCACTAACGGAAGCATCTCCCTCAAGTTCACAGAGACTCTGACGTCTGTAATGGTGCCTAAGCTGGCTCTGGCTCAAAGGTGTATCAGATTCACCAGAAAGATGCCACATCCAATGACCTGGGATTGTCGAGGAGGTCCAAACAGGGGTTTTGAAGCTTGCTCCAAAACTTGAACCTGCCTACTAAAGTGTTTCAGCATCATAAATAGTCGTGGAGGATAGTAGCTCTTTAAGCAACCAAATTACAGTTACCTGAAAATCAACATTTGCAACAGCCAAACCATCCTTCTCCTGCCTCAAAAATCTATCACAATCAAATCCTCCCGGAAAAAAATGGTGAGGAACTGGATTACGGAATTTCATCTTTGATATATGCACATGACCCATTCCATACAAATTATAGTCAACCTGTAGAAGATAACCATTAAATTTCCAGCAGCGGAGACACATTGACACAAACAAGGAAATGCCGGTATTTCAATAACACAAGTAGAAAAACCAGAGTACTTTAAATTAATGGAGAGAAGGAATAAAGCATTTAAGGTTTGGTTGGCCAGATTCAAGAGTGAACAATCTAAGATGGAACATAGCCGTAAAAGGCAAAACAATAGCTACAATTTAGTTTCAAGATCCCAACAGATGGTTCTCAAACTGACAGTAATAAATATGGTAAGATCGGTATTACTTATTGCCAGCATATCGAACCCCCGATTCACCAAAAATATTGGAGATAGATTTAATCTATTAATCCTGAAATGGTAGCATCCCCAACCAGAAAATCTTTTCATTTTTAATTCAAGTCAAGTGGCTATCAGCAAGATCTATTTTAGCTTTTCAAACCCAAAAATTACAAACCCATGAGCCGCAAAATCATAATTGCATAGGCTAATAACTTAAGATCAGATTGTGGGTTACATTCAGCAAATTGACTAATAAATCAACTTTCCATATGGCTAACCAGGCACCAGAATAAAGCTAAAAAGAGAGCATAGGTTATCAAGCTGGTAGTTATATTTATCCATAAACTTGTAAACCTTCACAAATACCTAGTAGGTAGAATATCTCTTTTCCAGACATAAGAATGCAAATTACCAGAAACTGGAGGATAAAAGGAATATGAGACTCATATGGCTGCAGACTTTTGCCAAAAAGGTCGCCTGCCTGGTAGGAAAAGAAGATTAAGCTCAATAGCAAAAAACAGAAACATTGAATATATAAACTACTAACATAAGCATACACATAAAAATGGCCATCACTATTTTGTATACAAGTTACAACATTAGATACATGACACATAAGCTGAAGATTGAAGGTGGCTAAGGGACTCAGATATCATACCAGAAGAAGATTGGCAGCACGGGCGACATCATGAGGATGATAGCTATTATACAGTTAAGGTGTATAAACTCTAAATATTCCCAAGGAAAAGGATACTGTACTTAAATATACAGGATACACATACATCTTCACAAAAGCCTCTTCTGATGAATGATAACCATAAAACTTCTTTGCGCTTACAATTTCACAACAATGTACATGTTGCCTTTTTGAAGCAGCATTACCCTTAGGCTGCATATCCATATCAAGATTCATCAAGAAACAGAAATAAATATACACACATATACACATAAACACAGTTGGGATCTAAACAAATACCAAAATGAAGTCAAAATCGATACTAGGGGATCATAGTTCATTTGGACTACATAACACAGACCTTTAGAGCTTTCTCCAATTCAAGGGATACCGCATGTGTATATGCATCAGCTGCAAGGAAGGACATGGTGAAAATGTCATCAATGCAGACTAGCTAACTACAATATGTTGCTCAGTAAAGTTATTAAAAGTGATATTCTTCATACCTCCTCCATGATGATCAAGCGGAATGTCCAAACATGGAACATATAAATACGGAAAAGCCTGCAAGAAAAAATGCTCTAACTCAGGAAACTCAATTTGAGAGAGAAAAAGGAACAGGCAAAAGTCACTGACAAACAATCATATCCTCGATAGAAAGCGAAACAGCAAACTTACTCGATGAATATGCAAGCAAGTCTTTTGACCAGCAGGTGTGGAGCCATATATCCTTATGACAGGGACTTCATTCACCACCCCACCTTCACGCCCAATGATAAATCGCATTTAGAACTATAGCCAAAGAACTACCTTCAAACTAAAACTAACGGATATGAAAATTGTTCTTCCGTTTGGTCTCCATTTCAATAAAGGGCCAACGGAGTACTGTCGAATCATACTAATACCCAATATGAAAGTAACGAGAGAGTAGCAGGATCGTCGGATCAACTGAGTGGTCATGTAAAAGATTTCTACAGGAATTCACAGGGGTTTCTTCGTCACCTTGGAAGATACTGTAGCAGACATCATATCCAGGGATCGGAGCCGCCATATAGTAATCGATCGAAACAATCCGTAAGCTGAAAACATTGGAATCCGACTGCGAATCCCCCATGAGTGCTTCAGATGAAGAGAGAGAATAGATAGATAGGAAATTAAGCGAAGCTAAGAACTTCTGACGAAAAATCCCCAAATTTTGTTTGGCGCCAGTTTTCTAGGGTTTTATATAAGAAAGGGAAAGATTACAAAGTGGAGTCTGGAGACCAGGCATCGCATGGTCAGTGGATTCTCAAGCACTGAACTTTAAATTACCATTTCAACCTCAATTTAATTCATAATTACGATCTTGCCGGATCACATTTAATGAAAAATTGTTTTGGTTTTCATATAAATCCAAGTCATACGAAAGTTAAAAAGAATCAATCAACAGATAATAAAATAATTGGATTACGATTATAAAAAAAAAAAAAGAATGCCGAATCGTGTGATCAAATTGATTGCGAAGAATTTTTACATTTTACAGAGATAGCGTTCAAGATTGTGTTTATGTTGTGTTTTAACCTTGGCTTATTTTGGAGGGGCTCGACATCATCTTTAACTAAAAAATTCATGTGGTACATATTGGATGTGACTTTCAATTGTTTTTATTAAAAAAAATATAACTGTTTATTCCTTTTGACGCTGAATTTTGGTTTTCTAAATTATTCGTTTTTTATTTAAAAAATATATTTTCTAAAAAGAATTGTTTCATTCATTTTTATTATTTTATATTAAATTTTCGTTCCGTTAATTTGAGTTAATAAAGATTATATTCAATTAATGTTTTAAAATATGATTGTCTATATATATATATATATACATAACATCACCTGTAGATGTAGATTCAAATCAGTTATTTTTTTATAAACTGACAAATATTTTGGTTTACTTGGGGAAGAGACAACCGAAATCTAATCCCCAAATGCTCTATAGTTTTTTTTTCTTTTTTTTGGTGTTATTTTTTCATTGTTAATAAGAATTTTAAACGATAGCATATATTTTTTTAGGAAAAAAAAAACAAAATTTGGTATGTTTTATGTTTCTCTAAAATTAGCATATTGAAATTAAAAATGTTCAAACACGAGAGGGGAGAAAAGGTAATTATTGCAGGGTTTATTTAAGATATTAATAATGCATCATAACAACACGAACCGACCCCACTCACTGGTTCGACCGGTCGAATGAACAACCGCTTATACCAACAACCAACACCTAACCTGCGAAACACGTAGCATGAGAGAACACGACTGATACGAAATAACCAAAGAGAAGAATCACAGACACACACACACACAAATCATGCCATAATGACATTGCTTAACCAAATCCAACGGCTGAGAATATTCTCAGATGGATACACTGTTCGGAATTCCCTTCCCAGTAATTCCACCTTCACTGGTCGGAAACATCAAAGTGTACGGCATTTTCACCGGACCGTTCCTGTTCTTGAGCGAAACGTCGTCGTTTCTCTCGACGATCTTCCTCTCGATCTCCGCTAATCTCTCACCAAACCTAGAAAACGCTTCCAACGCTTCGTTCTCCGTCGTCCATTCATTAGAATCTCGCTGCCCCAAGTATACCTCGTCACTCGAATGCCTCGACAGAATCTCGATAATCGAAATCCCGAGAAGTGTCTGAATCTGAGCAGTGATCGTCCTCAAGAACACTTTGTCCGGGTTTTTCTCGAGTTCTTCAAACTCTCGAGTTCCCTTTTCAGGCATGAACTGACGACTAATGGTCGGACGGTTCGGCATGTACCCTGCAATAGGGTATTGTCCGAAATTCACGGATGCGTGGAGAGCGGAAGCGATCCAGATGATTATGGTGCAAGAATCGATAAGTTCTTTGCGGGTTTGCATCTTTGGCCACCAAAGTTCGGACTTTTTATCGCCATGACCTTCCTCTCGGATCTCCTTCCACCATGTTTGGAGCTCGGTGTCGTTTCTGACATCGTCATCGGTCTTGTAGTAGAACGAGATGTAGTCTCGGACCCATGACTCAATCGCTGACCAGATCTCGAGCCCGTCTACTGCATATGGATAGTCTTTTACCCTAAGGCGCAACCCTTGTGGCGCCTCGGGGTCCTCAATTGCCATACCTCTGCAATTTCAGAAACATAAACGCGACTTTGGGTAATTTATCGAATTTAAATGAAAATTTGAGTGTAAAGAACAATTTTGTGTACCTCTTTTTGAGATCTGCTGGTAAGGCTTGGTCAGGGAAAGTCCAGTAATGCTTGTAGATGAAGGATGACATTTCCATGGCGTATTTAGCAGGGTAGACAGTTGTTTCTAGAATGCCGCCTCCGTTGATAAGGATTTGCCGAGCGAATGCATTGATGTTCATCGTGTCCCGATAGTGAGGTTGCAGGAGTTTGTAAACAGGGTGAAGAGCGCTCAGCTGCCTGTTCGTGGCGATCACGAAAGGCTCAATCACAGCATGCGTGTTCAACCTGAGAAAATTAAAACAAAACTCAAAATAGAAGCAAAATCTGCTTCTTTGAGGGTATAAATCATAAATCGTAAACCCTAAACCCATCTTGACGGGAAAATCTTACCAGTGGCTGATGAGCTGATGGTTACCGGAGTCATTCACACCGACATAAGCCTTCGCCAACTGCCATAAGGAGTCCTGAACTCCATCGCCGGGTGTATAAACTTCACTCAGAGCTCCAAATCTGTCACCATCAGGATGAGGCAAGCTAAGCTCTATCACTAGTGGCTTCAAGGTCCCATCTTCTTTCAAGAACAGAAGCGTCCTAGTTGCGTAAGTCTTGGTCCCAGTCATGTTTACGCGTCTCAAGTATGGCATCAGCGTGTCATGGTGGTCAAGTATGAACAATCTTGCCTTTTCGAGTGCCTAGGAAAGAAAGCCAGATAATGTGTTTGAAATCGAGCTCCATTTTCGCCAAAATCACTTATCTACTTGATTATAATTTACCTCTTCCACGTTGAGCCCCTCTAGATTGTGCTCTATGTGGGTTTTGGTGATAGTACTGGTTTGGTTACCGTACATTTGGCTGTCAAGCTTACTCTTTGGAGGAAACTCCTGCAGGTTAATTAGCCACAGATAATGTAAGATATCAGAAGATCTAAGACAGCGAAATATCGGTATCCGCTAGGAGTTGATGTGACCTCGAGAAGGCGAATGACGACAGGGTTCAGCCCGGCAAGCATTTCTCTGGCGAATTCTTCATCGGTTCTCCACGCAGATTTGTCCTCTGGAAAGAAAAATAAAACATAGTATAAAGGGTATTCTTCGAAATGCATGAGAGAACTTGATGAAGAAGAAGAAGAAATTAATACCTTTGATGATCTGAGGCTCTGGATACTTGAGCAATTTCGCACCATCAGTTCTGAAGATCTCCCTTAGCAGCTCGAGAGGTATATTGTTTCTGATATTATCGAAAAAAGACTGATTTGGCAGATCGATTCCTTCTTCGTAGATCTTAAGAACATCTTCAAAAGAATCAAACTCATTTGGACTCTTATCGAACACAGCCTCAAGTGCAGGCTGGACAATCTGAACGATAGATTTCAGCGCAAACACCAGAAAATCAGACATCTTCAAGTGTCCGAATCTCTCGTCTCTTGGAACGTAGACGTTTAGGCTCGATGTGATCGGTAACCTGCTCTCGGTATTAGGATCTTCTTTGGTCGGTTTCCGTCCAGTTCGTCCCCTTCTCGGGTACGGATACTCTTCAGATCCTCCGAGAACAGGTCGTGGGTTCTTCGGTGGGTCGCCCAAGTCATTGTAATAAGCATAGTCATAGACTCTGTCCCCTTCCTTGAGCTCTCCTTTGCCGGTTCCTCTCAAGCTCACAAGCTCTTTTTCTCTGTACTGTACCAGCGGCTCAGGCGTCTGGCTTGGAAGATACGTCTGCACATATGATAACATCGAACTCAAAAGCGATTTCTCAGCTCCAATGGATTCCAAGCTCACTCATCTATCCAATCCATCAATCATTCCCGTGCTAAAAACGTAATAAGATGATCTCGTATAGCAGCTACCCTACTCGCTCCCTGTCAACATCAAAACGCCAAACAAGAACAAGAATGAAGAGAAGCTTTACCTTGTTGGAGAAGAAAACTCGGTCTTTCTCGTAGGTATGAGAAGGGTAAACCCAGGAGTTGCAGAGGAAATGGACTCTGCCATGGCCAGGGACGTCTTCAAGAGTGAGGCTCTTGAGATAAAACTCACTGAAATGATCGTTTCTGATCGCGAAAGCTCCCGGAAACCCGAAACCGTTCTCGTAATCGAATGTGACTTTGAACGCAGATTCGCCGGCGGTTAAAGGAGTGATCGTGGTGATCCATTCCTCCAAGTGAGCTGGTTTCCCGAGTTTTCCTTTTGACCCGTTTCCTAACGTTTTCAGAAAGAAACAGAGAAAAAAAAATCGGTACAATGGGGATATGTATTTCTTTTTTTTTTCATCAATATGAATTTATGAATTTGAAAGGGAGAAACTTTTTTTTATTACAAAAAGTTCCCAATTTGCGGAGAAAACGACGAAAACTTCTTTACAGATACAACCAAAATGTTTCTCTAAATGAAATATGCAATGATGGCATAAACTGGTCTACATATGGGTGACCACCGACCAAAATGTATCAGCTAATTTATTGAACTTTGCCAAACTCTCGTCTTTTTTCTCTATTTTTCATTTTTAAGATTTTATGTTATACCTATCATATGTGTGTGTATATATACAACAGAAACATATACAAACATTGGGTTTTTAATCCATCCAAACTTTTTTTTTAAATTATCCATTTTAACTTAAATTTCTAAAAAAATAGTTTAATACCCCCCCCCCAAATCAATTTTCGTTAATGTCTTTTCTCAACCCGCAAACCACAACTGCTACGTGTAGCGACGCTACTTGACTATTAGTTGGATATATTTAAATTGAATATTTTAATCGAGTTTTTGCAGCTCCAAACCGAACAAAATATTCGAGGACAAAAAATGCCAAAACAAATAATAAAAGCAAGAATAAAAAGTAAATAAATCCGTATAAAGATACGAGCTTTCTTGCTGAAGAAGAAGAATCCCTTCGTATGAAACAAACAAACAAATTATATTCGAAACTTGGACCGATCTACTCTTTTCTTTTGGACGGCTAATCTATTTTAGACCGGATCTAAAATTAATTACAATCTGTCCAAAAACCAGCTTTATAATCAAACCGGACGGGTTCCATCCGGTCTTGTAGAAAGAATATCATGCAGATATCAGCACGAAATAACCGATTTTCTAAACCAAGACCATATCAACGTGTGCATGTCCGGTTCTCTTTGGGAAATTTTTTCACATCATTGATAAAAAAAATACCATGATATTATTATGTAAATTTTGTGAAATTTATGTTTTATTTTAACAGAAAAGTAACTGTTTTATACGGACTAATAATTGAATAAAATAAAATAATGGAAAAATATAATTTATAAAAAAAATGGAAAATATAAAATTAATAAATTATACCGTAGTTACCAAAAGAAAATTCATCACTCTGTCTGATCTAGATTATTATATATGTATCTTTTAACTTATCATTCCATTCGTCGATTTTAATAAACAGCTACAAGTTATTGCTTTGATTCATTTAATAATATAAAATTTTCTCAATTAGTTTTTAGTTGCAAAAATTGGAGATACTTTAATTTTGCATTCAACAAAATATAAATGTTTAAAAATAACATAAAATTTCAAAAGCGAAAACATATCAAACGCCAGAAATTTCTGGAAAACCTAAAGAAAGCGAAAGAAAATGAGAATCCGATTCCTTCATCCAAAAGAAAACGAAACAGATAACGACGACCAGATTAAAGTAAACGGAAAGCGTGGAAAATCTATTCGAATTTCGAGGAAAATGCATAGAAACCTGAGTCTGCAACATCGGAGCTGATGAGTCGGAGAGTGACTTTGTTCCCCAGAAATTCAGTGAGACGATCCAGAAATGAAGCGTTGAAATCGTTGAAATCGAGAACGTTCTTCTTCATCAGAACCACCGTTCCCTTCACCTTAGCTCCGGCGCCGGAATCGTCGCCGCCGGAGAGAAGATCCACCAGTTGTCCGATCATTGTCCCACGGAATCTCCGAAGAAGAGAAACTTAGATTCGCCGAGAATTTCAAATCAGAGATTTCCCGCTCTCGCTATCCCTCTTCTCTCTCTCTCTTTTTCTTCTTATTTCTCTGTGAATGTTTTCTTTCCTTCTGAGCTCAAAAATCTGTGTATCAATGGAGTAGCGGTTTATGTCGGTTGGGTATTTTATAGAGGGAGAAAAAGGTATGGAGATTTCTTTAAAAATTAATTAATTCCAAAAATATATTTCTTATATATCAATAATTGCATACTTATTAATTCGCGGTGATTTGAAAAAAAAAACTGTACATATATTATATTATATTAATTTTTTTTATAAAATATATTATATTTAAACTTTTTCTAAAATAAACTTGGTAAACCAGATTTAAAAGGTATAGAGTTGAATTATCGTATCCCATCGAATTTTTTTTGGATAAAGATCCTTTGGAATCGTGATCTCAAGAGTCAAGATCAAGTTACCAATGCGTTTACTAAACTCTTAGCTATGGATCAATTGCAATACATTTTATCCAAGATGATGGGAATATATAAATTGTATTTGCTCTTATCTCCGTTCGAATTTCGATTCATGGTTTAGCTGGTTTACGTCTAAATTGAGTTTGTTACATTTCTATTGCTAATTTAATTTTTGAATTTTCTTTTTCACTCTATTATTATAAAAATAGACGTATTTTTCAAAGACCTTGCGATTAAAACATATTTTTTATTTAATTTTTATTCACCATTAGTTTAAAAAGTAGTATAATATCGAGGCTATTTTCCTACATCATTTGTATTTTAGCCATTATTGGATAACTTGTAATTGTATACCTATAGAATCATTTATTGCAGCTTCCATGTTCTTCTTTATTTGTAGTAACAACGCGTGAATTCTGGCATATACGGTCTAAATTGGTTTGGTTTTGTTTTGTTCAGCTTGATTTTGATTGGATTGTTTTTATTTTTATTTTTTTTTAGAAAAATTATGTTCAATTTTCATATTATATTCGATTTTCTTTGATGTTGATTACTATTTAGTTTTTATTAATAAAAATATTTAGTTTTTAAATATATTATATTTTTTCAAATTTGATGATATTTTCACTATCTAAAAAAAACTTGCATTGTTATTTCAGATAACATGTATTTTATTTTATTCGTTTACTGATTAAATCAAGAATTAGACCATTACTAATATATTATAATTTGTTTATTAATTTATTAATCGTTGATGTAACTAATCAATTAGCCGTCTTTTTTTTAACAATTAATGCTATCTAATCTATAATCAACAGTACTACATCAGCAATTAGTTAATCTCATCACGGAAAGACTAATTGGTTAAAAAATAATTGCTACCGTTACGTGCTTTCACATGTATAAGGGCATTATTGAAATATACTTTTTTTAATTATTGAAATATATAAGATGATAAATCTGTAAATTGGTAATTTATTTATACAAACATTTTATCTTTAATAAAAAATAATATAAGATTTCATTTTATTTCAGATGGAAAATCAAATTTTTGGTTTAAGGTTTTTTTTACTTGAGATACATTAATTTTTCTTGTAATATATACAATATATTTTTTTAATAGATTTTCTTGTTAATTTTAAAATTTTTTATATAGGGTTCGACTGGTTGTACCGCAGCGGTTGCGGTTGCGGGTGGCAGCGTTTTCAAAACGTTTGATAGCGATTATAAATGATTAGTATTGACTGGTTGAGAAGTTGCTGTTAGTAGCGATTGCGGGTGGGTGCAGTTAGAAGTGAATGGTTCATTACGGTTGCGGTTGCGTTTTGATATAAATTGTCAAAAAAAATATTATTTAAAAATAATTTTTTATAATAGTTTTAATTAAATTTTTCGTATCATTTTATTTACTAAATTTATAATAATTAAATAATAAATTTAAAATAAAAATATTATCAATTTAATTTATTTTCAAGTAAAAAAATAATTTTATTATAAAAATTATTAAAAATAATCATTATTAAACCTAAAAATTATACTATTGTATTTTTTTTTATTAAAATATAATACTAAAAAATAATATCAAATCATAACACTAAACAAAATCATCACCAATATATATATTAATGTTTTATATAATTTCTAATAAAAATATTTTAGTTTTTTTATCAAAACGCTGGAAACCGCTACCAAAACGCAAGTTGGAAGCTGCGATTAGAAAACACAAGTTTGGTTGCGGTTGCGGTTCAACCAGTCAGTTTTTCAATCGCCCTCAACCGCCAGAAACCGCAACCGCTCCGTTTACGGGTGGCGGCGGTGCAACCAGTCGGCCCCATAGTCTATTTTAAAAGTATATCCATCCCGTTCTTTAAAGTCCACAAGATAACTTATTTATTTAGAAAAATCTATGAATTAATTATAAATGCTATTGTGATATTTATAATGATATATTGATTGATTTGGGTAGGATGTAAGATTATTTGGATATATCAAAATAAATATTAAATTTAAAAACATGCACAATAAAATTTTAAAAATTATATATATTGTAAGAAGATTATATAATTTACAAACCGTATCTACGTGGTATTCGAAACCCATTAGGATCGCGATTCGCGACTATTCGACTCTAATTAAAAATGAATTTAGATGTGAAAATAATGCATTTATTCCCTTTGGAGGAAATAATCTGAAATTGAAAAGATTATATTTGATGAAGGTTGGTTGAATTTAGATAGACGATACGTATTTGAATTATATCATATTAAATTAAGTTTTTGCTTATGGGAATAAAATTTGTGGTTATTTTACAAATTATATATATATATATATTCAAATCCAAATAATTACCTTTCATTTTAGTAAAACAAATTCTCAATTTTCTTTTCCACTTATCAGTTTTATTTGCGTGAGCGATCAAACATTTTTTTTAATAAACCACAAAATGTCCTAAATTACGTTCAACTATAAACCCATACATTTATTTTTTCCTAAATCGCCAAACGATTTATTGCACGATACATACACATCTACGTACACGTCCACAGCCTCGCGGCCGTGTATATATATATATAAGCAAGGGAATATAAATACAATGAGCAAATTTTTCCAAGAGGTAGGTCGTTGCATTTAATGAGGAACACACTTGGGTATTGATTGTTTTCGTCACAGATTGGGTATGGTGCACAATGCCACGGTTCTTCTATATATTTTTAAATTTGTTTTCTTAAAATATAAAATGATTGGTTGAACTAAGATGCGGATTTCGGATTCGATTTCTCCTTTTTGGTTACCTTTTGATTAAATTCCTTTCAATTGTAAAAACTATATTCATTATAATTTTTATTATTTTTATATTTGATTTGGATTCGATTATTTTTTTAAATTTAGAAAATTGATTTAGTTAAATATTATTTGATTTGATCGATTGGATTTTAAATTTACGTAAATGTAGAGAGAGAGAGAGAGAGAGAGAAAATATACATAAATGGCCTTGTTTTCTCATCTAATTTTGGCATTCTTCTCTTTTTTCTCCTTACAACGACGTTTTTAATAAAATGAAGAAAAATTGGCTTAGCTAATCAAGAACCGATTAGTAGTTTTCGGACCACAAACTGACATTACATAGTTTGTTATAGTGTTTCGTTATTGTACGTTTCATGCAGCGAAATTACATTTTGAAATCTAATCAAAATAATATATAAATATCGTAAAACAGATTCTTCTATATACCAAGACGAACCAATATGCTCGAAATTAAAATGATCGAATAAAAAAAAAAATATGATTTACATAAAAATGTACCCTCAACTCCTTCACCAATTCTCTACAAATTAAAGAAAGATTATATAATTTCTTATGTTGTATTGGATCATAACAGGAGTATCCAATTAACAAAATATATGTCAAAAAAAAATCTCAAAATATCATAAAGCACCTAATTATAAAAACAAATTTAATAAGTGTTATCCCGTTATACTAATTAATCTTAAAATATAATTATTGAAAACATATGATATAATATTCAATACTTAAAAAAAATGTAGTAATATTGGAAAGTGATAAAGAAAACTCTACGGTAAATATGATAAATTTATCATAAAAAATCAATAGATATAAACCTTCTATTGAACATGACATAGAAATTTATTATAAATATTTAATAAATTAGTGACAGAGAAAAAGGGCATGAAGCACGTTTTGTGTAATATGCTTCTACAACCACAGAAAATTATTATTATTTTAAAGAACAAGTAAAATTTATGTTCTAAATATTTATATGAAACCAAGAAAATGAGATGGTAGATATTGATTTATTAATTTCTGCAAATCGATGGCAATTAATCTGATTGGAAAATATTGGCAGTTATATTAAGGTGTAGCACCCAATAAAATTTAAAATATATTAATATATTGCAATTGTATAATATTTTAATTGATTTTTTCATATAATTTTAAATCAATAATCTAGTTTTTTAAAGATCGCATTCGCATATTATTATAGATTGCGTTAAATTAAAACTTCCAACATTTGTTATTTATAATAATAATAATAAAGGTGTTGAATGGATGAGGTTTTTATTTTGAGTTTTTGGATTTAGTTTTTGGTTTTTATGTTTTAGTTTTTGGTTTTTGGCTTTTGGTTTTTATAGATTTGTAAATCTAAAAAAATATAGCTTTTAGTTTTTAGTTCAATTCTTTCCATAAAGTGGTTTTTCTGGTTTTTAGGAAAACCAAATTTTAAAAACTTGATTGATAATTTTTTGAGTTTTTAAAATCCAAAAACTCCCAGAACCCTTTGCCATTCAACACCAAAGTAAACTGGTATTGCATACGTGAAAGATTCTAATTGGTGGTATTAGATTTTGTTGGTACCGCCTCTAATTGACTGTGGAAACTCTGAAAGCGATGGGTAAGCAGTAATAATAATAATAATAATAATAATAATAATAATAATAATAATAATAATAATAATAATAATAATAATAATAATAATAATAATAATAATAATAATACTTGTAATTTGGAAACTATTTTTAATTAGTTTAAATATAATTATTATAATTTTTTATTTAAACATATATTAAGATATATTATTCATAATTGTTCTAAAATATAATTACCAAAAACTCAAATAAGTAAAATTTATTTTAACCGAAACAAATCAAATAAAATTGTAAATATCAAAATTTTATTCAGTTTAATAATTTCAGTCAAAATTAATTAAAAAATTTATATTTAAAATTATATACACATAAGAAACATTTACTGATATCATGATAATAATATATTAATATACTCATCAACTTTCAGGATTCAAATATAAAATTCTGAAAATCGTATAAAATTTCGGAGCTATTCATTACATATATTAAAATCGTGTTGTATGGAAATAAAAACCGGCCAATATATGAGCCTTTTTCAATTGTGACCATCCATGTATGAATGTTATCGTCATCTTGGCACGCATAGCTAAGCCATAATTGTCGGCGCACACTTTCTCCACCATTACTACCTTCATTTCTTTAGGTAACCGAATATTATTGACGGTCTAAGATTATTTCCGGGGTCAAAAACTATCTATATGATTTATATTATATATTCTCTATTCAAATTTAAGATTTGAATTCGGGATGCGACAGATGCTTTGCTCTCTGTTTCACTGATTAAATTATTCAAGTTTGGATCATTACTATCTTAGGTCACAAAAATCGAATTTAATTTATTTCATTTCGGATTTCTTGAATTCAAATCTTTTTAAGTTCACGAAACTTTAACGAGTTAGTTTGATTCATATGATATATAAAAATTTAATTTATTTTGGATTATATATAATATAATAAAAAAGTAACATATACATTCACATTATATACAGATATATACCTAAATACATACATGCATACATACATATATATACAGTAACATATATACACATACGCATACATTTACATATATATATATATATACACACACATACACTATTACACAAACTTTTACGTATATATATTTGTTGTTATTATTTATTTTTTATTATTTTCTAATGTGATACGGTGATGTGGTAAAATAATTGGCGTGACATTTTTATTGACGAAGTTTTTTTTATTTTTTTATATTTATTTATCAAATTAAATGTTTATTTAATTTTTTATTTTTTTTAAATTATCCAAAAAAAACAATAGTTGAAAAACATGACAAATATCTAAAAAATCTATATTTTGTTTTTACTTTTGTTATTCTAATATTTACCGCAAATAAAATAGAGATAATTCAATTTATAAGATAGGCTCGTGGGGAGCTTTTTGTTTTTGTTAAGCGAGAGGTTCAGCTGAACATTCGGTCCAATCTACATCCCGATCCGGAAGCAGTCTTTAGAGACCCAACGACAGGAGTTCAGAGAGCAATACCCTCCCAACCCAGAAAACACGCTCCTCCTCCATGGATGTTGTCTGCCAAGTGTGGATTATACTGTTTTTTGTCGATTTTTGCCTCTTCCTTCGCATCCATGGAATCATCATTGTCTTTTCATAGACCATTTTCGAGGCTCATTAAGCTTCAATTGAATTTTGTGCGAGAACTCCATGTAAGGATTTGATCCCTTGAAAAACCAAAAGATTATACCTTTAAAATGTATCCTCTGCATTAAAAAAAAAAAATACAATTCAGTTTTTCCAATTTTTTTTCACAGAGCCACAACTCCCTGTGTTTGGAAACAAAATTTCAACAAACATCCGAGTTTCTGTTTCTTCTTGCAGCTGCTCATCAACACAAAACAAGAGATACATACATACATACATATATATACTAGTCGAGCAATCAAGAGACTGAAAACCGAAGTCTGAAAACGAGGTGATCATTTCTTGAGGAACGGTATGAGCCTCGAGAGAGAAAGGGTCAAAATCGCTGGCTTTTTTTTTTGCTGACATCTCATTTGCCAGGAGATGCGAATCTTGACTTCTCTCTCTGTCGGCTCAAGCTTCTGTCCCTCGGAGATGACCCTATCCCGGCTTGACGCATGATCTCTGCAAAAACAAACATTAGATTTTGTGCAGAAATCCATATGAGTAAAATCATGATGATGTCATGAAGATGTGAATCCAGATGTTTTGGGAGTCACTCGCAATCATGGGCGTCAAAATGCTACGTCATTACAAGAACCAAGTTTCAAGTTTATGCCCAGATAAACCTCAGTGATAGATAGCAAATGCCCGGCAATTATCAGACAGGAGGCAAAGGAAATAGCTTTTGTAATCTAGGAATAGTGAAATCCAGAATGTGATCGTGAATAACACAAAGGGAAAATACCTCGCCGCTTTCTTTCCAGTTCTTGGTTGAGCTCTTCCTTCCACTTCCTCTCTATCTCAGACAGAGTAATACTGCAGAAAACCAAACCTCACTATTCCAGCAGATGAAGAAATTAAAGTGCACAAGAAGAAGCTACACTAACTATTAACTAAAGGGCACTGCCATTGAAAGGTTCCTATCACTTTCTGGTATTCAGAAATATTGCCAATGAAATTTCTTAAATCCCTTTGCTCGGCAGCTTTTGCATTCAGAAACTGAAACATGACCATTTTGAAAACTGCAGTGGCAATCACAGCTTGGCACATGCATGTGCAAGAGACTAACCCTTCTTGTGCAGCTTCATCACTTGCATTGTGCATATTACACACACCAGGGCTACCACTGCTTCCAGGGCTCTTGGAAATACCGGAAGTGTCGGTTGCTCTTGAAGGCGGTGATCCACCAAGAGGACCTCGACCGGGTGACCTGCTTTTCGGAGGCAACTTCAAGAAACTATGAGGAGTATCCTCTCGTTTATTGCTGTTGCTATTACTCTCCATGTAATTGGGAGAGCTTGTGATCAAACTGTTGTAGAATTCTTCATATAGCGGTGTCTGCAACTTCTTTAGCTCTGCAGCCTAAGATTAAGATGTTCACTACTACATCAGAATCTGAAATACTGATTTATGCAGAAAAACATTGAGGAAACAGATTAATGCAATGTAATGTGTATGAATCACCTTCTCATCTAAGAAAGCTTTGATTTTTGACTCAGTGAGCTCATCATCCTCTTCTGAGTATGACGGTTGGTCAACTTCCACGCTCATATTATACTCTCTTTCTCCATTTCCAGGACTTCCATCAAATTTGCACTTGAAACCATCAGAGATGTCTTTCATGGCATCACAGCTCTGCCAAGAGACAATTTCAGACTAAATTGATCACTCAAGAAAAATTCCGAAACCTAGACAAATCATTAGTGATATTGATAAATTGTACATTTACAACTAAGTTTACCTTCTCAATATCATTTTTCTTCTCAAGGGCATGGCTAGCCTCTGCGTCAAAGGTCAAGAAATTCTCACAATCAATCAAACACATATCATCGTCATCTTCATCGTCATTATTATTTTTTTGCCACAAATTGTCACTTTGGATCGACGGCTCTAGGGACAAAAATGAACAATTCAGGCTGCCCAGGTTACATATATCTCCCGCATCATCACATGTAGACATTGTACTGAAAAATAAGGAGCAGACCATAAACATTCAGAATCTTTTCAAAATTGGAATTTGGAAATTCTTCTAGAAACTTTCAGCTGGAGCATAGGCCCTAGGGTCAAGAACTTACGAACTTTTCATTAGCTGAGAGGGTGGAGGTGTACTAGAATTTTCCTGGAAAAAAACAGGAACAAAAATTTCCGTGTAATAAGGTGTCTTCAAGAATAACAACTAAGATGATATCCAAGAACGCAACTAATGTGCACCCACCATGATAGAAGCAAGAACAGCAGAAGCAGAATCCCTTTGTTTGCCCGTAACAAAAGGGTGCTGTGGATAAAAAGACAATCATGAACATTGCAACTCAAACACGTAGACTTTATATCATGGGTTTCAGAAAAACTGTTGATGATTGACCTTTAGCAGCTCAGACGCAGTTGGTCGCAGATTTGGTTCCCTGCCAAAATAGGCAAAATGTTTCAGACATCCTAAACAAAAGTAGTGATGATATGTTGCTTTTGGCCTCTGAATCGAAGACGACAGAAACAAAGTTTATAGATCAAAGTATATACTCTTGTAGACACTTAAGCAAAAAATCCTTAGCATCAGCAGATAGACTCTCTGGTATTGGTGGATGAGCTTTAGTCGTCCCAATGTGAAAGATAGCAGCAACCTGAGGGATCAAGTGACATGAAATAAAGGAGAATGTTCTAAACAAAAGTGGATAATAATGCATATAAAATAAAGTACCTCTTTATATTGCTGGCTCCAAGGAGCCTTTCCTGTCACCATCTCGATAACTGTACATCCCACACTCCATATATCAGCCGAGCTGTGAAATTATAGTCATGGCTTATTAACAAATCAGGTAAGGGAGAATGTAATTTCGTATTTGTGAACAAGTTTAAAGGGGTATTTACAAGCTATGCCCAGTTTGACGAATAACTTCTGGGGCCATCCAATACGGAGTTCCTTTCATAGACTTTGCACCCGAAATGGTAGCCTAGAGCAAGCCATGCCAATTAGACTTAAATCATAATGAAGTACATGTTATAAGGCCAACTTGTGCTAGGGAATGGGATGAAACCTCATAACAAAATGATGCTGCAACAAAAGTTTTTTACTCTGAAATTTGGCTTACCAATTCAGCTACCTGTTTGGATGCACCGAAATCAGCAAGTTTAATGCATCCTTTGTTATCTACAAGGATATTAGCTCCCTGAGGATTGAAAGAAATGGAATGTCATGGGCCAAGGGACAAGAATTATAGAACTTCCACAGTGAAATAGTATTGGCCAAGATCTTGACCTTAATATCCCTATGCATTATCCCATGATTGTGAAGATACTCCAATCCCAAGAGTAGTTGCTCCGTGTACGTCCGAACAACCTGAATCCATTAATTGAAAACTTTCAATACTTCAGCACCACAAGCGATCCAAAATCCCAAAGGGTTCAGCAAAGACGTACTGGTTCTGGAAAAGCCCCAAATTTCTCCAAAAGCGATGATATGGATCCACCGGAAACAAACTCGAGCAGGATGTTCAAGGTTTCGTCTTCCCTTACTGTTCCCAAATATCTCTAATACAGGGGCGATAAAAAAAATTAAAAGTCCTTACCAATCTGGATAAGCCAAAGAAACAAAAGAAAAGAAAACATCATGGCCCTTATTGCTTACGACTATATTAGGATGGGAAAGATTCTTGAGAAGCTTCACTTCCTCCTCAAGCTCCTGAACATGAGTCTGCTTTGCACCAAGAAAGAAAACTGAGGAATGAACTAACCTTTCAAAGCAACCCGTGAAGACAGAATATTCAGCTAAATGTCAATAACGGGAACAAAAATACATTTTAGCAATATATAAAATTATAAACAAGTTGGTTCTGTTGTATGTGAACCTGAGCTTTTCCCTTGGTTGCACATTTGGCCGCAATCAGAACCTGAGCAATAATAAGCTCACAATTATATCCCAACACAACTTCTGAAAAGCCGCAAACAATACACAGACCACTCACATTCAACCAAAAAAAAAAAAAAAAAAAAAAAACACAGACAATCAGGGCTAGAAGTATTTCCAACCAAGAGCATATGCCGATGAACAAATTATGATACGAATGGAAACAGGCATACACTTGTTCTGTAAGAACTGTAAGTGCTGAATCTGATGAGTGCCGAGAACGACTTGAGCAAAATTACATGTAATGTTAACCTAAGCAGCCAATCAATCTCATGTGCAGAAAACCCCAATTTTGAAACCCACCCAGATAACATTTTATCAAAAGGAATTCATGGAATTAGCCATGGAAAACAACAAGAAAAGGAAACCGGATTCTGCAGATTACTCGGATCGAAAAAACTTCGAAGTTCACTGAGGATTTATAGCACATCCATTTTGTACCCAGATAGAAAAACTCTAACAACTCGCAAAGTAATAAACAGCAAGAAGATCCAAACAATCAAACAGGAAATCCAGAATTCAAACTTCCCCATCGAAAATAATATCCCCCCAGAAAACTTAAAACAAATCTCTCGACCAAAATGGCTTTAGAGGATGAGATTTTGCAATTAAACTCCTGATCAACCAATATGTAGAACCCAGTGGAAACCCTAATTAACCTGTTTGACGGCGAGAAGCTCCCCGGAGTCGAGATTCATCCCCATGTACACTGTACCGAAAGCGCCGCGACCGATTAACTGACCTTTCCTCCACCGGATCGTAGAAGCCATATCGACGGTGGCGGGAAGAGGGACGCCGGGGGAGGAGGCGAAGGGGAAAGGGAGTAGGGTTTTATGAAAACCCTCGATTTGCGGATGCAAGAAGTGATCTTGTCAGCGAGAGCGCCGGATAATGGAGGATGATTCTCTCGGTTGTCCTCGTCGGCGGTCGTACGGAAGACCATAGACCGGCGGACTGATCCTAAGAAGTCCTGCATTTGAACGGATTCGAGAAGACGACGACGGAGAAAATGGAAACGAGCGAGAGATCAGAGAGAGAGAGGGGGGAGGGAAAAAGGGATGACGACTCTATTTTCAAAAAATATAAATTTTTAGAAATGTTTTAAAATTCCGTGGAGAGAGAAGATAGTTGTTAAGGTTAATCATCATTTATAATTCGTATTTTGTTTTTTTTATTGAATTATAAACGAAAATATATAATGGGATTATGCCAAATTTATTTTTGTAAAGGTACTTCAAGTCAGTAAAAAATTATAAAAACGATTTTTGGATGAGCATAAAAATTAGCTTCAAACAATATTTGTTTTTCACGATTTCTTTATATTCTATTTATTTGATAAATTGAATTTTTATAATTGAAAAATAACTTTGGCTAGAAAGTTTGAAACCTCATTCCATGTTCGTATCTGTGTTTGTTGTTCCTTGATTCCGAAGCCGAGTTTCGAATTATATATTTTTTAAAATTAAAAAAAAATACTTTTTGTCTTTTAATTGATTTTTAGTTTAATTTATCGTGTGTTTAGGAAAATAAAATTTATATAAACTTGTTGGGATTTTAACCCAAAAAACCATCTCCATTCCTCCTTTCGAACCCTCAATCTCTCCTCAATTCTCCGTTGACGCTTACTCACAGTTGCCGTCACCTCTCTCCCCTCACCTTTTGATTTCTCGTTTGTTGCCCTCCTCGGTCCTCAGGTTCGTGTTTTAAGGGTTTTCGTTTGTTGGATTTCTCGTCCGTCGGGTTTCGGTTTCGGTTTCGATCTCGATTTCGATTTCTGTGGTTAGGGTTGTGTTTCTCGTTCGATTGTTATGGTTTCGGTTTTTAGAAACTTAGGGTTTCGGCTACATTGCAGATTTTGTTGAAGGTTGTCGTTTTTTTTGGTATAATTGAAGGTTGTCGTTTCCTCCTAAGTTTCCGGCCAAAATGCTTAGTGATTCATAAATTACAGAGTATTGAATTGATGATTTGAATATTTGAATGCAGGCAACTAAGAGATGCCACGATACAAAGATGAGCCTCCGGCGATTAGGGTTTATACAGTCTGCGATGAATCCAGGTTTTGATACAAAATTTTCCCCAAAAAGTCATCAGAATTATCTCTGTCGATCGTTTTATTTTTTTGTGGATTTTCCATGGAATCGATTGCCTCTTTTTGGTTTCAGATACTTGATAGTGCGAAACGTTCCTTCTCTGGGTTGTGGTGATGATCTGATGAGATTATTCGCGACCTATGGAGATATCGAAGAGTATGACGTGTTATTCGCCTTCTACGCCACTTTCTCGTAATATTTCTCGGTGTGATTTTATCGAATTGGCTCGTTTGATATGTGGATTTTTATTGTGTAGATTTAAACCCATGGATGCAGAAGAATGTGTGGAGTTCACTGATGTCTACTGGATCAAATTTCGTCTCATCAGCAATGCCAGGTTTGGATTTTCTCTTCTCTGATTCTGAGATTCGATGATAATATTAAGTTATTAACAACCCTGGAATTAATTTCTCGTATCAAATTCTTCTTTGTTGCGTTGTTTCCACCACAAGCAAACATCATGTGATGCATGACGTGTGTTGCTTCGAATTTTTATGCCATTGGCAAGAATCCTGAACCTGAAAGTGTTTGGGTTTAAGTTCTTTGCTGTAAGATCTTTGAAGTGTGCTTGTTTTGTATCTATATTTTATCCATTGGTCTTGTTGTGTTGACCCGGTGTAAGCAAATCACCGTTTGGTGCAATGAAATTCATCTGAGATAATGATTTTGATTGATAGGTTTGCGAAGAGGAAGTTGGATGAGTCGGTTTTCTTAGGGAACCGGCTCCAGGTTTCATATGCTCCAGAGTTTGAGAGCCTCGACGATACAAAAGATAAGTTAGAAACCAGGAGGAAAGAAGTCATTGCAAGATTGAACCGTAAGCTTCTATTTTATCTACAGGAAAAACACATCTGTGGTGTCAATTGTTTTGCCTGAAAAACCGGTATTTCTTTCTTACATTAATGTTTGTTTTTAGAATAATATCCTGATCGGTTTACATGGTTTAACTCATAATCAGCGCAGAAAGCCAAGGGCACCCCGAAAGTTTCGGAACAGGTTGGCCCGTCATTGACTCACTTTGATAATTTCTCCCGCCAAGGTCTCCCTAAACAAAGGTAAAAGACGGGTATGTTGCTCCGGTCTTTGTGTTGGCCTATGCATTAACATGTGCATGAGAGAGTCCTGTTCTATATTTTCTTGTAGGACCATGGCTGGAGAGTCTGAGTATCAATCCTTTACAAAAAACGCTCCAGTTGCTCGAGTTTCATCTAACCAGGTTCTGTTCTTTTCCATGAAAAAACTCTGCATTCTTGACTTGTACGGATATTTTCGTTCGAACTTTTGGAGAGTGGGTTCTATTCTTCCCTTCCTTCATAGTTATGGAACTGGAAAAACAATTTGTTTCGACTGGATTTCAGGACTATTTCCCGTCTCCTTCGATGAATCAGACGGTTCATTTTGTCAGGGAGAAGCTCAACAAGGTAAACAAACTTTCCTACATCGATCAGTTATCGATTATCCATCTTTATAAAGATTAAAGCTTTGCCCTCTTAATCGTTCCTCTGTTCGCTGGTTGTTTTTTCTTTTGCACTCTTTAAGATTCAAGAAACTGGTGATCAGAAGAGGGTTCAGACAAGCAACCAGTACCAACAATCAGAACCGGTCCTCAAGAGAGCCCGTCTCGACAATAGAAGAAGAATCTAAAGCATGTTCTTCTGTTGCAAAGTTTAGATTCCTCGGATTGGTTCGGTATTCGAAGCTGATATCAAACCCGAATCCATCGGTTTCAGGGTCAGGTCCGTAGTCCTGATAAACCCTAACTTGTATAGAGTTCTCTGTGCAGAAAGTTTGATCTCTGTGTATTTCAACTCAGAACATACAATTTGGCTTTTGATTTTGGATCTGGTCATTGGCCAGTGCAGTTATGGAAATGCTGCATTCAGTTCATTGTAAAATCCACATTTTTTTCAATTGATTTTGGATCTTTTCTTGTTTCTTTATAAAAGAAATATGATATATATATATATATATATATATATATATATATATATATTTCCCCTAAATCCTTCGAGAACGGGAACTTCCTTAAAATAATTCTAAATCACTATATTTACCAAGTGTTATAAAGTTTTAATAATGAGGGATTTATTGGAATAATATAGAATATTGATGGATTTTAATTTTTTTTTGTAAATACCAAAGCTAATTACACAGTTTTGTATATCATCTTATATATAAGAAGAATCAATTTAATTCATAGAATATTACATACGGTCCAATATTCCCATTTTACATTTCTTTCTAAGCGTATATGTGATTCCATGGGAATTTTATTTTATGTTTTAATTGGCATATATTCTATGATAGAGCTTGCTTCATCTTCTATTATTGTTGGTATTTCGAAATCTTCATGAAATTCTCTGAAGATTCCGATCTGGTCATCTCACTCTCGGTAAGCCAAAATTGAACTCCGAATTTTCAAAGACTGATACAAATTTTGCAGGTATTGAATCAGTGAGGTTGTTTACTATTGTCAGGATCTCTCTTTAATTAATTCTCCAGAAATCTGTTGTCAAATTGCAAAGAATCAATGTAGAATTGGGAATCGATTTCATTTGATTTGAGTGATAGGAAATTAAGGACTTTATATCGAAAAAATGTTACTCTGAGTCATCGCGTATCGCTTTCAGAACTTCGTTTCTGTTGTCACTTTCTTCATGATAATCTGTTCAAAGTTAGCTTTCTACGTTCTTGTTCTTCTCGGTGCACGCATTTTGATTCCAAGGTGTTTTAGTTCGTCTAATGCTGAGATCTGCATGCTTTGTCTTTTCGTGAATCTTCCCCGCCTTTTAGCTATATGTCCAGTCTTGTTTCAAGAGTCTTTCTCTGATATGCCTGAGTTGGTACTTGTTTTTCTCTAGAAAAACATTGTGGTTTAGGGGTTGTGAAATGGCTTCAGAGATACTATTTAGCTCCTCGGTTAAGCATTCTGTGGAACTTGAAGATTTCACTTGATTTGTATCAAGATCCGGGATTCTGATGCATACCACCATATGCTGAGAGGCTTATTGTTGATAACTTGATAGTATTATTCATTGTTTGCTAGAGATCAGCAGCCTATGCTAACTGTTCACTCTTGTCTTCTTGGAACATTGTGAATTGTTGTTTGGTAAGGGCTTGAGTTTTATCTGGGAGCTACTTAGATCTCTTGGAGATGCATTTGTAGTGTTATATGTCATAAGCACCTTTTGATCGGTTATTTTTCACTTGCGATGTTGACATTGAATAGTAGAATTCACTACTTGTTCACAAGTTACAGAAGGTGGACACAGTTGAATTTCTAACCTTCCTTGGTTAGAAGGTGAGTGCTGGACTTTGCAATGTATTTACTATTTAGGTTAATACATTTGTTTTAACCCTAATGAGCGGTTCATGTGTGAAGATAGTAATTCTATTCTGTCTTGACATTCAAATGTTGTTTTGTTGGTGTGACGTGTCTGCCTAAGTTTTGCCAGAAAGCTTTCCTTGTTCATCTTGAAATTTTCTTCCTGTATTGAGATTTTGATTGAATAAAGACTTTGATCTGGAAATCTTGCTTACGCAAGGTTCTTATGTGCATTTTTGTTGTTATTCCAGTCCGATCAGGGATGGAGCAGATGGATCGTTGTTTGTTGATCACTTTACATTATGGCCAATCTTCAATGTGAACTAGCTGAAGAACTAGCCGGGAGGAAACCCTGTACTACAGTCCCTAGACGCATCGTCAGGTCATAGCAAACATGTGGGCTTGGATTCTCTTGTTCCATACACCCCTGGAGAGGGCTAGGGAATGGCGTGGGCGGGTACCCGAGATTTTCGGGCCACCCTACACCGGGTTCACTCTCTCGGGTTTCAAGGTCAGAGGTCTCAGTCTCGTTCCCGTGGTGGTCAGAATCTGAGCCGGCTGTAAGGTGGTTGTCGAGGCCTGGGTGATGTGGAGAGAGTGAGGCAGAGGAAGTGAATAGAGACGAGAGTCATAATGGACGAGGCGGGGCATGATGACCAACAAGGTGAGCCGAGGCCATGCGAAATCATCATCTGTTTGGATAGAGCAAAACCATCCCATTACCCGAGAAGAGTGATTCCCGAATGATTAAAAAGTAACTCCGTACGGTACATCTATCTTCTATCGTTTTGAACCAAACTTTTGGGGACTTTTACAAATTGAACAATACCAACTCTGCTCACTTGTTTGCAGAGTCCGAAGATTACAGATGAAATCAGGTAAAAAGCCTACAGGCATTTGCTGCAAATGACATTTTCTTTGTGCATATATATGTGTAATGTGTATGTGTGTTTATACACACAAATATATCAGATGAAGGGAGCTCTGTCCATGGAAACGCAGGTACAAGGGCGAGATTACACGATAGAGGAGATGGCTTTACTGGTCCTGTTGAAAGAAGTTTTCACGTTGCAAAGAAACAACAGGAATGCGTCTCTCTCGCAAAGGTACACAAACACAAACACGTGCTTGAGCCTTGTTTTTTTAAGATTTGACAGAACATATTGAAAGAGACTGCCACATTGTCCGTCTGAGCCATGCAGCTGTAATCCTTTTCTCCTCAATGTTGTGTCCTTTTCGTGTTTCGGCTCGAGAGTTTTGTTTCCTTTCTTACCCGACATCGGGTTCTTGCATCACTTCTGTTTTAGTTTAAGGGTGGAAGTTTCGGGTTTTGGTTTAAGTATTTATCCAGAAGGTTTATTCGCTATTATAAAATTTGTACCGAGATAGTACCATACTTCATTAGGTTTAGTTTTGGTTTCGGTTTGATTCGGAACGATGATTTTTTTGTATGATTACCGAAACATGATTACTGCCGACTCTTGTTGGAATTGACCGGTTCAGTTTTTGTTATGGATTATTTTTCTATCGTAAATATTGTTTCTATTCGAACTGGATCTTATCCGTTCAATTCTGTTTTTTGTCAATCATATGTATTTTTTGATAATATGTGATTTACCAAGTGTGTGGTTTGAACCTGGATGGAGCACTCTTTGCGCATACCCACCTACCAGTTGAGCCAACCACTATTGGCAATCAATCATATGTATTTGATTGTGGCAAATTTCTCTCTTTCTATTAATCTGTGTGCGCACATGAATATGCTTGTCTATGTATACTGCACACACACACACATGTATGTATGTATGTATATGTATATGTGTATTAGATATATGTATGAATGTATGTATTATGGTCAGTTTCCGTGGTTGATAGGTAAAGCCTCATGTGCGATAAGGATAGAAGTCCGGCCATAGCCTGGAATTTTCTATGTAAAATATCCTATTAAAATCTTGTTTCTCGAATACGTACACAAATGTCACATGCACGCATACACACACACACACATGTATGTGTATATGTCAATCAACCAAATGTTAGAATGCTTTTCGACGGAAGAAATTATCTTAATTCTCTAAATTTATTTTTCCCTGTCCCTATCTGTAATTAACAAGAAACAAGAAAATAAAATTTTGTGTATCTTTTATGAAAAATTTGGATAATTTAAAGAGATTATATATAAACGATTAAAATATTCAATTTCGACAGTCATCTCAAATCGAAATCAAATAAAATCGATTTCACTACATAAACAGTTGTTTACAAATTATTCATATAGGAAAAACCGATACAAATTCGTGTGCATTTTTAAGTTTTAATTTATATTTTAATCGATGGTGAAAAAATAAATATTTTGAAAAGATTCATTAATCCATGCTTATATAGTCTACTAGATTTATCTATAATAAAAGCCACCGAATTTATATCCCAAAATAACATAATATCAAGTAGATTGAAAAATTGGTCGAACCTACACTAATAACAAAGTGACAAAATTATATAAAAATCAGCCTACGACAACTTGCATTAAGGTTTTGGAATATACTTGCCTATGTATGGACTCCTTTGTGCTGTGTTAATATGCATGTGTTAGGAGGCAAAAGTAGCATAAGCCTATACGTTATATTTGGAATACATACATATATATATATATATATA